ATTTGGGAAAATTTAGGACTATTTTTGTTCAATAAAGTCTCGAATACAAAATAAGTACAAAAAAAATAAAAATAGGTAATTTCTTAATAATTAAGAAAGCCTCATACGGGTTTTATCCAGGGCCGGCTTAAGGCAATTCTGCGCCCTAGGCACTTAAAATTTGGCGCCTATTACTAGTTACTATACTTACGGGGCCCAGGGCAAATTTTAGAAAAGCTTATCAGAGACACCTCAATCTGTTATCTTATCTTACTAACCAAATTATCCCGTATGAATTAAAATACTTTTTATCAAAAACTATAGGTTTATTAAAAACATAAATAACATACAAACATAATAAATATAATGTTCATAAAAAGTGTAAATGTTAAAATTTATAAGTGCCTTTTTCTGCAAAGGATTGCAAGATGTCATTACCCAAGTAGCACAACTGGTTAAATAACTAGCATTCTAAGTAAAATAACCAACATCAAAGTAAAATAACGGTTTTTTAAACATGTTTTTTAACCAATTAGTTGTATTCAACCATTAACATTTTTTAAGGTTACTATTAACTAAAAAATAACCCTTAAAATTTACCTACTGGTTGCTATAACCTTAAGGTAAATTCAAAGGTTATTTTTTAGTATAATGTAACTAATAAAACAAATTTGTTTAACCTTGGTAATATTACTAACTAGTTAAATATTTGGTTTATAGGTAAATTAAGGTTATTTTAAGAGTTTAAATTGACTATAAATAAACCAAATCTTTAACTAGTTAGTAATATTACTTATAAGTTAAAAAGTAGGATATTTTAAAAGTTACATAAAAATGGTTAAGAGTAGTTATTTTTTAGACATATTTTGGTTTAGTCTATCAGTAATATCTATAGATATATACATATATTCTCTTTAAATGAAAAAGTCCAAAATGACTCATATTTGACTTATTGTCATAGCGACAGCAGTCCCTAATAATTAGTCAAATTATACCGACTGAAATAGTCAAATTAGTAAATTTAAGAAGTTTTGACCCAGCTGAGGTTTGAACTCGGCTCTAACTTGTCAAAGGGATGTCCAAAAGCTGCACCACTGCTACTTTTTTAAAACTTTGTTATATCTGTCAATCAATATTGTTAATAATATATAAAAGTTGAATATATTTTTTGTGTTGGTGTTTGGAGCTAAACTTTTACCATCTTTGTTTTTATGGGCCATTTAACCATGGAGCCTATATGCATTTAACGCTAACAATAATTTGTTGTTGGCCGCAAGAATTAAAAACGATTAAAGAAATTAGTTACTTATTCCTCTTAGAAACAGTAAAAGATCTTAAATTATTTAAACTTTAACCATTTAAGTAGTAAAAAATAACTATTTAAAAGTGAAAACGACTATTTTAGTAGTAAACAATGCTGATACTAATTCAAATAATATAATTTTGACTATTTCATTTCAAGAGAACATAACCATATTGAAAAAGTGAATTTGCGGCAAGCGTCTTTACACCGCGTTATTACAAAGCACGCCACATTTTTATAAAATAATAAAAACAGTAAAGAATATATTATTTTCATAATTGTATAATGTTATTTTTTTTTATTTTTGAGAATTTTTATTTTTTAGTTGGTTGGGGACAATGCGCCTATTTCTTCGTGGCGCCTAAGGCAATTGCCTTGCCTGCCTAATGGGTAATATGGCTCTGGTTTTATCATATCCATACAAAAGGCCAAATATGTAGAGATAGCAGGAGGTTTATTCTAATTTGCTAAAATTGGGTTTGATACTTGGCTGTCTGAAATAATCGAGAATGCCATGATGAGCATTGAAAAGACTACCAAATTCAATAATAGACAAAATTTCGTTCCTGTGGCTTGTAAACAAAAATCCGTAGAGCATAACTTTATATAAATAAAACTTTTATATATTGCTAAGGAATCCACAACTGTTGTGTAAATTGATATTTGCTCAATATTAACAATATTTTGTAGTTTTTAACGTTGCATTATTATGTGTACATAACACGCATTATTATTGCAAATACGCAATACATCCAATTCCAACAGTGTACATCCCAGATAGCCAAATAGGGCAATTGAATAATTCAAGCTCATAAAGCAACAAGCCAATATTAACTGTATGTTAATATTAAAAAATATATAATATATATTTATATATGACTATTTCCCTCGTCTTAATTTCCACCAATCACAAACGCACAATTTTGAATTACAAATGGTTTCTAGGTGAAAAAACTGTGTGACAGCACCTGTCAGCAGTTTTTTCGAGTTTACCCGCGGCAAAACTTGACAGCTGTTGTCACCAAAAAGTGCAATTTATATTTTAATTGTTAACTGTTACTCATGAAATAGTCTTGTCAAATACCATTCGGGCATCTATTTTTTCCTGTAAAAAAAAAATCGAAAAAACACAATGCTAAGTAATATTTTTTAACAAAAAGCATTCGTGCAGGTGCAAAAATCCTCCTCTTCGACTCGGATTTTTGTTGCCACCAGCACTTATGCTTCTTGTTAAAATATTACTCAGCAACGTGTTTTATCGATTTTTTTCGAAAAAATTAGATGCCCTTATGATATTACTTACGACTATTTCCCTCGTCTTAATTTTCACCAATCACAAACGCGCAATTTTGAATTACAAATGGTTTCTAGGTGAAAAAACTGTGTGACAGCACCTGTCAGCAGTTTTTTCGAGTTTACCCGCGGCAAAACTTGACAGCTGTTGTCACCAAAAATTGCAATTTATATTTTAATTGTTAACTGTTACTCATGAAATAGTCTTGTCAAATACCATTCGGGCATCTAATTTTTCCTGTGAAAAAAATCGAAAAAACACAATGCTAAGTAATATTTTTTAACAAAATGCATTCGTGCAGGTGCAAAAATCCTCCTCTTCGACTCGGATTTTTGTTGCCACCAGCACTTATGCTTCTTGTTAAAATATTACTTAGCAACGTGTTTTTTCGATTTTTTTCGGAAAAATTAGATGCCCTTATGATATTACTTACGATAATATAACGCAAAAATTGTGTTATAATTGGGATAGGTAAACTATGTTTCTATAGATATAATTATCAACCGTTAAACATTTAATGAATATGTAAAGTGAAAAGGTTTTCCTAGCGTATTTTTACGATTATCGATCTTCTTCGATGTGTTATGTATTATTACATGGTGAAAGTAACCCTTTCAGCAAAAAATGACGTGGTCATGAATGAATAACTTTCGAATCTAAAGGTAGTGACATAGAGCACAAAGAAACAATTCTAGTTATTCATATAACAAAGACCAACAGGCCTCGATTATTTGTGATCACTTTAGAACTTGAAGGAAACGTATAATCCATGGATTATACGTTTCCTTCAAGTTCTAAAGTGATCACCATTAATGCATGGAATTATTTAACAAATATTTAGCTCTGCGTCCCAAGCAATTCTTCCTAACTTATAGACATGCCAAATGCACGGTTTAGCCAACTATATGCATTTACCAGAACCGTCACTTTATACGGAACACTGTTTTCGAAAATTTTCGAATAATTGAAAAATTTTGAATAATTCGATAAATTTCGAATAACTCGAAATTTTTTAAATAATTCGCGAATTAATGAAATATCTCTGGATTTTCAATTGCTTCCATTTAAATTACCCAGAGAAAAAAAATCTATAAGAAAAAGGTTACTCATGTAATGTTTCAGTATCGTATTTATTATTTTTGCACAAAAATTTGTAGCAAATTTTTCAAATGTTCTAGTTTTCATAAAACTGTATTTGCTACGATATAATTTTTGTTATTTCATTCTCTATTTGTGTAACTATATTTCATGGTTTGAATAAAATATATATTGACTGTTTAATAAATTCATATTTGAATATTGAACATAAGAAACCCTGAATTCAAAATACTCGAAAATTCGATAATAATATAATAGTTTACGAATAATTCGAAAAAATTTCGAATTATTCGAAATTTTTCGAATAATTCGAATTTTTTTTAATTATTCGGGAACTTTCGAATAATTCGAATTTTCGAATTATTCGATTCGAGTTCCGAATCGAATATTAATATTCGACTCGGAACGAATATTCGTAAGTTCGAATTATTCGCACACCCCTTCTTTTAACTTTAATATAACAAATAATAATGAGTAGTTTTGTTTTGTATTCGCTTTGCCATAATAAAATGTAATTATTTATTTCTTAATTTTTAAATTTTTACGGTTGGCGATAAAATTTTGTATGCACCACGTCAGTAAAGTGTCTTTATCGAACTCTTCAGTTACTCGCATCGCTCGCTCTGATTATAATCTTATACTCGTTGGATAAAAAATAACTTTATTGAATTGGTACATAAATACCTATAAAGAAAAAAGAGGGTTGACAGTTTTAAGGTCAAATACCTTTCTTGACATTCATACGATTACCTGCAACTGTAATTGAACAATTTTGTTTATGCGTGCAGATGTTTACTTGCTGTAGCGCCCTTTTTTAAAAAATTTAATTAATTCAAGTAGCTCCTACAGGCACGGGTAACTATAATCTAAAAAAAAATATATTAATGCTAAATAATTTTGTCCATCATTTGTTCCATTATATTGTTCCATTATTTTACCCATATTAAGGCCACCCTAATGAAAAATGACCCATAATTAACAATAAATTATTTGCTAATAATTTTAATAAACTGTAAATTGATGTCCCAAAAATAAAACCCGACAATTTAAGATGAACTTAAACGGACACCTATAGAATATTGGCGCCAGGCACTGGGCGCCAATAGATGCGTTGACCTCATAGATTAATAAAATAATTCCTACGGATAATTATGCGTAACCGGGAGCCCTTTCAATTATTACTTGTTATTTCCGTTAAACTTTATAATCATCAACATGATTTTGTAATTGAATACATATGCTATGTATTATTATTTCGTTCTCTATGACGCCTCGGCATGTCAATTAATATGATGAATTTCACTTATTAGTAATTTTATTTTGCAGATTACCCATCAACGAAGAAAGCTTCGATGGATTAAGTCAAGTTAAATATTTCAGTTTGGCTGATAGCGTGCTAAACGATGTACCTGAACAATTATGGAAGAAAATGCCCAATATTGCTACTCTGGATCTTGGAAGAACCCACATTCATTCTGTCACATCCACAAATTTCCAAGTAAGATTTGTATAGTTTTAAAATTATTAGTACTTTACACAATTTCATCCACCTTTAAAAATTGCTGCAGGACCCGAATGACGTAATAATTTTACGATTTCACGTAATTGTTACGATAAAACTAAAACAAAACTTTTCAACAAAGGAATATTCATTTAAATACATATTATATTATATTATCGTAGCTAAATGATGATGAGGAAGGGTACATGTTTTATAATATTAATGTAAAATTAAATATTAATGCTTTTTAATGTCCCAATGTATTAATTCCGTTATATAAATTCATAAAATAAAAAAAGTTGTGGAGTCGCCAAGTATCGAACCCGGTACCTCTCGCATGCTCAGCAAACGCCCTACCATCTGAGTTAGCCAGCTTAATATCAACTTTATAACGCTCGGAGAATAATGCAGATTTACAGTGTATGACTCCACGTCGGGCCTATAGACGCAACGTTAAAAAAATATCAAATACTGTATGTAAAACTGGCCAATTTCCCATTTAAAAATTTTGATCCAAAATTGGATTATAGCTGTACTGAATACCGTTAAAAATCTGTAATAAACGTAGTATCCGATATATTTTATTATGAAGGATCTTTTAGATGTTTTCAAACCATTCAACCTGCAGGTTGTGACGGTTTTAAATATGAGCAGTCAACAGTTTATCCACAGTCCTTTAATTTTCTATCGTTCAATTCCGGGAAAAATAAAAATAACATTTTTTATCAAATAAATCAATTCAAAAAGTATTAATAGGGATAGGTTAATAAAAAGCAAAAAAGCAAAAACAAGATATCAAAATTGATAACTAAAAGATTTTTTAGTCGACATAAATAATAAAGTGGATTTTTAGTACCTACTCAAAAGCGACCGAAAAATAACGCTTTTTTGGCCGCGTTTATTATTGCCCCTTTAATGGTGGCGCCATCTATCGATGGTTATAAAAAGCTTTCAGTATTGTCCGTTTTATTAATATTTATATCAATAACTCATTAATAAAATGTAAAAAATGTGCACCACTGCTAAAAAGGGTCCATTAAAATCAGAATCGTCCAAAAAAATTTAGGTACTATTTGGCCTTGGTACACAAATAATACTGTAGGTAAATTTTCAACTCTTGAAATATCACAACTAAACGCTCGGACACGTAAACATAATTTTTGGTCGTAGATTCCAAATCCGTGCTCGGTTTAGCTGTATAAGGTCTAAAAAAGTTTTTCCTATTGGCAATCCGATCCGGAGACACACTGTATACTGGTATATTATAATTTTTAAAATATTATATTTCACATCTTTTGTCTACATTCCCATGCTTTTTATTTCGTTTAATATAATATCCTCAATTATGCTCAGTAAAAAAATCAGCAAAAAAATATTTTGATTTTCCTAAATTATCTAAGAAAAACTCGGACTCGGACACGTGTTCCTTTTGATTGCGGGAAATTGGTAGGTTTCGTATCAGAAACCGTGATATCTAATTAGGCTTTGCTCCATTTGTAGTTATTACTGTAAGTGTTACTGGTAAATCAGGCTAAATTTAAAAAAAAATATGATTCGAACTATTCACATTCCGCTTTTCTAGGAACGGCACCCGCTAACTATTTAATAAATAGTATTTATTAATAGTTTTTTACTTAATATAATAATAATTATACAATTTTGTTACCAAAATTTGGCAAATACATTTTTTTAAATAGTTTGATTATTTAAATCACATTAATTATTTTTCTTTTACAGGGATTGGACTCATTAGCGTATCTTCTGCTGCCAGGAAATCAAATATCCCGGATGGATAAGGATTCCATACCGTCGCATTTGTCGACCCTTCATCTGGGAAGAAACCACATTAAGATTCTAAACGGTACCCTCTTAAATTTACCCAACTTGAACTGGCTACTTGTTAATGCAAATCAATTGGAGACGTTGGAAAACGAGTTGCCAGTCGTAGCGCCAAATTTACAAATGATACATGCGGCGCATAACTTTTTGGATAAGTTACCGCAACAGTTGAAAACTTATCCGAACTTGGATACCTTATTCCTCAACAACAATAAATTGACTTCTTTGGATGGCGCTTTGTCGAAATCTCGGAAGCTGCTGCGGTTGGTTTTGGAAAATAACTACATTAACACTGTAAGAAAATATTATTTTTAACCTTTTTATATTTCATTTCACAACAAACAATATAAGATCATAATATGATATCTTGTGATCACGATAGAGAAGTTATCATATAAGAAAAAATAGTTTTTCCCGATATTATCTTTTTCGATTATTGTGAAGGTATTTTTAACAGAGCGCCGGTTTTTAATGGTCAAAATCTCTTCGTAATCGAATGCTTTAGATTTCGTTTATAATCTTTATCAAAGAGCACAAAGCACACAAGCACAATAATGCCATAGTTTCTATGTATAAAAAACTATGATCGGGATTTAAGTTTAAAAAAAACTTATATGTTTAATAAGTTAGGGGGCATCCATTAATAAAAGATAAAAATGGGGGGAGAGGTCTACCAAAATCTCACAAAATCTCATTTTAATATATATTAAAATTCAAATTAAAAAAAAAATAATAATTTTTTTATTACTTTTTGGGGTTTATCATTTTGTCCGCTAAGAAAGTTTCATGGCCAGAATCTCACGTGAGGGATAGGGGGGTCTAGAACATCTTACCAAGGGAGAGGGGGGACCAAATTATCAGAAAAATACCTTACGTAATTAATGGATGTCCCCTTATTAATAATAACCTAACAGTCTTATGCGGTTGCTATAAGCAATTTAAATAATGCAGCTGAAGTTAACATTGCTTTATTTTTTGACAGTTTGTATTTATCAAAACATTTTGGTATGGCGTTAGTGACCAATTTTGTAAAATGCATGGTCAGAAATTATGTTTTTAAGTTGTTCCAACTCATGTTATTAAATAAATACATCTTCTTTATTCAGCATTTCTTAAAAGTGTAGATATCATATGTGGTTTCCAAGCAAACATCATTTTTGACAATTTTTCAATGCGGGAATGAACGTAAACTTTAAAAAATCGAATCAAAATTTATTAAAATTTTTGTTATTAAATTTCCTACAACATTGAGGGCAAACATTGGGGTTACTTTGTAAGATTGTATTTAAAATTTGAGATAGATGACGAAAAAGAAGTTTTTGTTAGATTTTCTTGACCTTTTCGACCATATCTTTTGAATCAATGGGTCAAACAGCCTTGGATATAGCTTAAAATTTGCGCAATATGATATTCTTCAAGGGAAAGTAAAAATTGTTCATATCTCTTGTATTGTTAATAATTCAGTTTGAATGATAAAAAAACCAATCGATATTTTCAATTTAAAAAAAAACTGAAAACTGGCTATTTAAAGAAAAAAAATCGGCCTTTTTTCGCATTTTTCAAAGTTTATGGAAGTCTCTGAAGTTCGCAGTACTTAATTAATGGTTGTTTACTTGTTTATTCAGTGGTTAACCACAAAAATTTTGTTTTAACAGTTAACGATTTTCTTTTGGTAAATTTTAAGTATAATATAGCACTACTATACTATACTATACACAAGCAAAAATTACAATTTGGTAAAAAATTTTTCAAAAAAATGATCATAGATAACGCCACAGAGGTAGCTTTATTTTCCTGCATATTTATTTATTTTTATAGATCTGTGCGGAAGATTTCGCCGAAACCGAAATGTTAGAAAACCTTATTTTAAGTCACAACGAACTGACCACGTTAAATAATTCCCTTCTCAACTTGAAAAACCTAAAATATCTGAACGTGACTTTCAATCGTTTGACCGAATTCTCCTTCCAAGATGTGGTTGGTTTGGAAGAATTAGGAAACATAGACCTATCGTACAACCAAATTTCCAAAATCCAAGGACCTGCAGCTGTAAGTAAATAAAAATAGTAGAAATTCAAAAACGATTATAATAACAGGCATTTCAGAATTTGGTGGAGTGGAACATTCAACTGCTAGAACTTAAATTGGATCACAATTTGTTGGAAACTTTGAATGGGGCTTTATCCGGATTGCCTTACCTGATTAAACTTGACTTGAGCTTTAATCAAATAAAAAGCATATCGCCAGATGATTTGATCGGACTGGATCAACTTCAGTTCTTGGATATATCATACAACCAACTTACCACATTGGAAGAAATGAGCAAGGTAAATTAACGATTAACTTTTCTCTAATAAAAAACCAAAACAACTTTTTTCTTTTTTAGACTTTCCTACCAAAATTATCCGAACTGATCGCTAGTCATAACAACCTGACCATTTTAGAAAGAGATTTCCACGGATTGCCAGTTCTTTGTCAAGCCAATTTTGAACATAATCAAATTATCGCCCTTGGAAGGGACTTGGTTGCCAAGACCAGATGTCAAATCGATACTGGGGTTTATGAAGGAACATGGGATACTTTAAAAATTAACCTTCAAGGTAATTTTAATATACATAATCAAATCTCTTAATCATTAACTGTTGGTACGATTTTAATCGATGGTCAGTTTTTCTAATAGTATTTTTTTCTCATTATGATATAAAAAATAAATTATGTAAAAAAAAAATTTCTTGAAAAAAAAAACACTTTAATTTTTTTTAAAGAACGACGTAACCTCGCGCTGATTGAATTTTCACTAGAAAAATTGTTTTTACAAAATTGAAATAGTATACTAAATATTTCAACCCATGGCTATTTATAGTTAGCTCGCTTGCGTAAGCAGCCGTGAGATGTATTGCTTATGCCGCGGCAGGCCGTATTCCAGCCGTAAGCGGGCCGGCTAGGGCAAGCCGAACGATTTTGCAGCGGCATGCCATATTCTGGCCGACTTTGGTTCGAACATGGCCAAACGGTACCGGGCTAACATAAGCGGGACGACTGGGGGTAAGCCGAACCGCCGGTCAACCGCCCATGCCGACTATTTGCCGTGTTTAGTGCTAACTGGGGTTAAACTGACAGATAGATATATAACCTCAATTATTTATATTTAAATGTCAATGAATTTACCAAGTTTCATCAAAATCTGAGATACCGAGATATGTCATCTGCGAATGGGGTTTCTGATATTTCATTTATTCGTACATTTGTAAAAATGTATAGCCTACCTGTACATACGGGTGTCCGTTATTTACCAAGTTAATTATTTTTTTCAAAAGCGCCCTCTAAATTATTAGTATATACCCTAAAAATATATAAAATCAAAAAAAGTTTTTTTACATTTAATATGTTTCTCTTGAACAGGTAAATATACAGGAATGTTCAATACATATTTTTGTCGGAAATTAAACGCTCTACAAAAAAGCTTTTTTACCAATTTACGTTTGTGCACTAGGGTAGACCGAAAAAGGTCGATTTTTACTAACGGAAGGTGTCAAAAGTTATGGGGTTACTTCAGTAGGTAACAAGCCTACAAAACATAACAAATTATACTTAAAATAGTTTTCTTAGGTAAACTTTATTTTAAATTTTATTATTGATTAATATACTTTTTACTTAACGCTTTTATTATTGTTGAGATTTAGTAAAAATTACGTATAATATTTAATTAAGGGCCCCTAAGACCTGGGTAATTTAAAACATTATCGGAGAGTTTAAAAAAATACTAGAGGTAATGTAAATTTCCAATTTTGACAACATTATTTATTAAAAAATCAATATGGTTGCGCAGACTCGTTAGGGGACATCCATTAATTACGTGAGGCATTTTTCTGATATTTTGGACCCCCTATCTCTCACGTGAGATTCTAGCCATTAAACTTTGTTTGCGGACAACATGATAAACCCAAAAAAAAATTGATTACTTTTTTTAACAAATTTGAATTTTAATACTTCTATTCTTTGAACCCAAAGTTGACGTGAGATTTTAAATGACCCCCCTCCCTTAACATGAGATTTGTTGAGATTTTGCTAGCTAATTTTATCTCGCGTAATTAATGGATGTCCCCTAGCTAAAAATCGACCTTTTTTGGCCTACCCCACAAGCAGGTATATTAACCATGAATTCAACTTTGACTATGAATAACTTATGAATAAATGTAAATATCCCATAAGGGATATACATGTTATTTAAAGGGGAAATGTATCGTATTTTCGCTTGAATGTTAATACATATTAAGAACTTTTTTTAGTTATATAATTTTTTTAGGACCTGAACTAAACATTTAGGGGGCGCTGTTGAAAAAAAAAACAACTTGGTAAATAACGAAGACCCTACTGAACATTCTCTATCATTTTATTTTTGAAAGTTATAAACAATTAGAATTAATTCACTTCCTGGCTTAAGTCTTTCCTGTGAATTTTCGAAATACCATTTTTGTTATTATTGTGAAAAATTATTTTTAAAATTTGTATTATCTTTTAACTAATTGTTCTATTTTTCCATAGTTTCCTTGAAGGTTTTAATTTCTTTCTCAATTAGCAAATAATTATTTGCTGCGTCAATACCACTTATTAATGATGATGCATTTTTATAAAATCACAATGACACTTTATTACAAAGATTTTTTCTATATACTTTTTAGATAATCCAATTTTATGTGACGCTGCCTTACCGGAAATAATGTCTCTAATGGAAATAAACCACACAAGAATCTATGGAACGACAAAATCGTGTTTAACTTTAAGCGAGCAACCAACCACCAGCAAACCAAACGATTTCTTAGGTTACATTCCTGAACTCCCGCTACCACCCTCAGTGGAAGACCCAAGCCCAATACAAGTGGAGAAAAAACCAGACACAATCCCGGCATTTCCGGTATTCGACAGCAAACCACTTCCGCTTTTAAACGTCAACAACCTCCCATTTCCTCCTGAAGTGGAGTTAACCAGAAACGAACAGTACACTGTAGCTACAGAAGAAACTCCTAGCAATCATCTGGAACCTTTGGCTTTAAAAACTCCGGAAAATGACGTGCCAATTAATAGCAATATTTCTGAAGAAGCAAATGTTAAAGTGGAGGTAAGCGGCGAAAAGGCTCCAAATGTTCCTGTGGAAACGCCTCCACCTTCAGCTGTTGAAATTTTCACAGAACCTATGCCAACTCCTTTGCCTTTACAAGCGAGTGGACTAGAACCTAATAGTACCATTCCCATGACACAAACCACTGAACTACTCGATAAAAATACAGAGGAACCTCGAAAGCCATAAATTGATTAGATTTAATAATTGCTCTTAGTTTTAAAATTCATTTATTATTTTTATTAGTTGTAGAACATAAATTATTACTAGTCATTTAATGAAATTAATGTAAAATAATTTGTTTAATACATATTCTGGCTGATAAAGCTAAAGTATTTCTATTTGTTAACATTAGGACTTATTTTACATTAAGACTAGATTGATCTATTGTAGATGATAATAATGTTTAATCAGACATATCTTAACATTTATAGTTTGTGATAATGTTTTTATATGACAAATAATAAGTGCCATAAATTAGTTGATGTATTTTTACTAAAACTTGCAAAATAGAAAAATTTAGTATGTAAATATTTACTTTATAATGGTCATAATTAATTGTAGTATTTTAAGGCATTTAGATTAATAACAAATACATTGTTTTTTTAATTATAGATTACAAATAAAGTATATATATATATATATGTAATATTAACATTTAGGTTTTGAAGGGAGGTAGTCTTACATAATGTGGAAGACTGGATAGTAATAACTTTTGTTTTGTTTTAAAATTATATTATTCAACAATAAACATACATAAAAACTAGTTACCACTATTATTTAATACCAGTTTATCATAATAACAAATAGCAGTACCCAAAAGGATAAGGAATATTCCTAGGCAAGTTTCTAAAACAATGGTTGTTTATTAATTAATTTATACTTATACAAATATTTAAATCTTACCCCTTGTTGGTAATTTTTCCCCTAGAAAACATCCAACTATTGCCGTAAACACAAAGGTTAATGAATTTGCAACTGGCACAGATAATGATAGATCAACATGTTGTAAAGTAAAAAAGTATAAAACTGAGCCGAGTTGATTTAATGCCATAGGTACTAAATACTGAAAATATGGCCATTAGAAAATATCTTTAAATATACTATACTGCCGTGCTTAATGAAAACGCCGTAACCAACAATTTTGCGATTTTTGTTTTACGGCATTTTCTACTAGAACAATTCATCCTGCGTCTATCCCCGGTACTCAAAAAACCGTATCTATATATATACGGTTTTTTGAGTACCGGGGATAGACACAGGATGAATTGTTCTAGTAGAAAATGCCGTAAAACAAAAATCGCAAAATTGTTGGTTACGGCGTTTTCATTAAGCACGGCAGTATAATATATTAACATTAAAGATCCAAATTGGATTATGCAATTCAATTCAAAGAACACACTGTGAAATCTAGTGTGTAGGACTCCTAGTTTGGTCCTAAAGGCTATTATAGCCTAGACCAAACACTATAGTTATTGGTTAAATATTTTCTATAGAAAACAAACTAAAAATATTATGAAACAGTATCTTCAACACAAACATTTAATTTAATTTTTTGTTCACATACCTGTACATTTGTAAATAAATATTTTAACTCTAAAACAAACTGCATAAATGCATTGTTAGCTTTTACTTGCACAATTTCTTTGGAGTTTCTTTTTATTAATGGATTTGTTCCTCCCCATAATGCGGCAACTCCAATCAAAGAAACTAAAATAATTTTAAAAAACATATAGCCGCTATATGTAAAATATATGTAGCAGCTTTAAACATATATTTTAACTTACTTACATAATTCATAAATCATATTTTAATACAAAAATTATTTAAGCGTTCAAAAACATTTTCAAAATATTTGTATAACCTCAAAGTCATAGTAAAGCAGCGTTGCCAGACGTACTATTTTAATGGTATTTATACCATTTTATTTTTCCTTGTAGGTACCATTTTTATACCATTGATTGGAATTTGGTGCCATTAATAAATTGTACCTACCATTAGTTTTAAATCTCCCTTGTCTATGGAAGGAAGGCGATCTATAAATCAGACTTTACTAATCAGTACATTTTCTGTTTTCAACAAAAAAACGGCAAATTCACCCCCTGACTAAAAAGAAGATAATTAAAAAAAACAATTTTTCACTCAATTGTTTGCTTTTGTCATTTTTGGTGATATTCAGGCCAATTCACTAGCATAAGTCATAAACGTTAGCCACTAGAATTAGTGGTTAAAGTTATATTTTAATCGGCCTGATTGGCAATCCAATTTTCTGAAACAGCTATACCTATAATTTAAAGTAAAAAAAAAACTAAATTAGATTTAAAAATCTTATATTACCTAACATAAAATTACATAAATAATGTGTATAAATTTATTCTACAGTATAAATAAAATTATATTATTGTACTATACAATTATTTTAAATTAATTTGATTCTTAACAATGCCAGCATGTTGCTTTTTCAGAGATTTTATTCTATAATCACAATAAATTCTTAGCAAAATACTAAGAAAAACTAATGAAATTCCAAATATTCCCAATGCATGGACTTCATGATGATACACTAAACAACTAAGTAACACAGAGAAGCCCTGCCTAATTGTACTAATAATTACAAAAACTAAGGGGCCAAATGTTGCAACAGTCTTAAAAATAAAAAGTTGACCAGCAGCTGAGCAAACAGAAAGCAGAAGTGCATCTACAAGAAAATTTGGATATTTGATGATAAAATTGAGTGAAGTGAAAAAACCTCCCTGCTGTAAAAGTGATACAGCAGTAAAAATGCAGGAATAACAATTTACAAAGCACATCATTTGTATGGGTTTCATTTCATATCTTTTAAAAAGGCTCCCTTGCCAATTAGAGGTAAAGCTATCAAAAATAATGTATGAACAAAGTATTATTACACCAGAAAATGTAGTAACAGTTGATTTAGCCTTATCATTGCCAGTGTCCAGCATGAAAAACAGCATACCTATTGATAAAATTCCTGCAGTAACATATTCATAGTATTCATATTTGGTTTTAGACATGACTTTACCCATTATCATTACTGGAATGGTTTTGCTTGCTTTGGCAAGAACTTGATGTGGAAAAGCCACATATTTTAATGCCTCATATTGACACCAAGAACTCATAATATTTGAAAAAGAGCAAAATACATATTTGTAGAGTGGACATTTGTGCCTTGGTTGTCTTGTACAAAATAAAATTATTGAAGCCATTACAAATGCTAAAATCCTATTAACAAAAACTAAAAATTGTGAATCCTTAAAGTATTCCACTTCTCCCTCAGCATTTTCATATTTTTGTGTCATAACTTTTTCTTGTAATAATGCCCATGATAGATATGAAATTTGCAATCCACCAAAATAACATATTAACAATACAGCAGTTTGTAATGGTGTCCGGAGTTCTGCAGCCGTTTGACTGGCTTGTGTCTCTGGTATTAATTCATTTTCGGCATACAAAGTCCTTATAATCCCTCCAAAAACCCCTCTTCCACTTTTATTTAAGTAATTTGTCTTACTAAGATATTTATACACCAGATATCCAGGTAGAAATAACGTCGCGTATCCCAAAATATTCCGAAATCCATGTATAATCCAACTGTAGTCTTCTGGAGGATTTTGCACTAAATCCGTGTTTAATAGCCATACATTTAATATATAAACTAGTAGAGATGATATAACCACTATTAAACAAATAAATAGTTCGGCATTTTTAGCCATTTTAATTTGTTAACTAACTAATCCATTTGTTTTTGTAATTATGCACATAACCTCTTACGTTTGACAGCTATGTTATTTCACTTCTTCTTCTTTGAGTCCAATTTTACAGTGTTGTTCCCTGGAAGACAAAACACAAGAAAATACGAGGGATAATTAGGATGTTATAACAAATTTTATCTACTCCTACATTGACGAGCTGTGACTTTATGGCGTTTTATTGACGGGTTGAAGTTAACAACAGTGGCTTTTCGACATTTTACGTCACGGGCTGAAGTTAGCTTTATTATAAATTGGGAAAAAGTGAGGTTAAATTCGGGTGACAGTTGACAGATCGTCACCTGAGAATTATAGTGTTCTATCTGCATTTTCCTTTTTTTATTCAGGTTAGTCTTGTTTTAAGTCTTAAAGATGATATTGGTCTATCTATATATAATTGGGGTAGAAATTGTAAAGTTTAAGGTTTAAACTGTACAATTTCTACCCCAATTATATATAGATAGAACAATATGCATCTTTAATACTTAAAACAAGACTAACCTGAATAAAAAAAAGAAAATGCAGATAGAACACTATAATTCTCAGGTGACGAGATGTCAAATTTTTAACAAATAAAATTGGCTTAAAATTCTGTTTTGTGTTCGTCGTAGATAAAGTATAGTATGAAACTCGTTTATAAACTTCTCTAGACACTCGTTTTTATTAAACACTCGCTCGCAAGCTTCGCCCGTGCTTAATTAAACTCGTAACTAAAATGGCGTTTATAAAACTTGATACATAATACTATTTTCTACTCTCACCTTTAAAACGCTTTTTATCGTACATGTTTCCATGACACTAAGGGACCTTTTAAATACACATTGACAAGTTGTGGCTTTATCGCGCTTTAGTCACAGGCTGAAGTTGGCAACAAGTTTTTAGTCACGGGCTGAAGTTAGTTTTAAGTTAGTTGACAGTTGTCAAATGTCATACAATCGTTAAAATAAAGTGCCTTTCTTGTAAAATAATACTAAATGTGAAAATTATTTTATTATCTCAATACAAAAATATTAAATAGTTTCTCAACGCCAATATTTGAAAAGTTTATATGAACATTGTACTGACCTTTTAATTTCTCCGGCAGTAAACTATAACTTAAATTCGGGCACGGACTCCACTGTAAAGTGCTCATAAAACATTTTATTTACTTTCACTGTGAAAAACTGTCAATTTTCAAGAAACACATATCGATTTATAACTATATAATCTGTTTATAAAATAAAAAATTTGACAATTGACGGTGACACACAGATTCCCCTATTGTTTCATAGATGGCGCTCTATACAAATTTTTGATTTAAATCATTTTAAGATAATAATAAGTATTTGTCGTAGAAAAAGTATAGTATGCACCTCGTTTTTAAACTCATTAATTTAAGCCTAAATTAAATTCGTGTATAAAATGGCGTTTATCAAACTTGATACATAATATACTATTATAATAAAATTATTATAATTCTATATACTCATGAGTGAATAGTTAACTATAGTTCAAAACTTAACAGCGCAGTACAATAATGAACCTAACCTAAAAATGATGTTACAAAACCTAATTTAAGGCGCGAGTCTAAGAAAAAGTTAAAACAGTTGAAATTATTAATATAAAGTGCACAAAAAACATTAAAATAAATGAAATAATAACATATCATCGATTTTTCCAATACCTATATCGTATATCATCGATTTTTCCAATAACTATAGACCAATCAGGTGAGATTCTTAACAACCTAGTCTGTAAAAGATAGGACCAATAAAAAAATCGATAACTTCTGACCAGGTGTATGTATGTATGTATGACTTCTGACCCCTCTGAAGCTATCTAATTTTTATTAATTGTAAGTACATTTTATGTATTGTTTAACAAATATTTTTATATAAAACAGTACCTTGAAGATAAAATGTTGTATGCCATTCAGTTAAGACATACATTTTGTGCTTTGCTCAATTGCTTAGCACAAGAAGACTTGCTTCTCAGGCTTATGACATATTTTATATAAATATATATTAATTGTTATAAATATTTTAATTTTGTAACTTACCTTTAATGTTAAGGATATTAAAAAAAGTTAGAAAGTAAATAAAAAAATATTAATAAATATATTTGTATTGTATAAATAAAAATCACATATATCTAGTAGAAGTAAATACAGGAAATACATGATGCCAACTTAATTTGTAAATAAAATATGTACATAAAATTGAAATTAACAGTCCATTTAAATAACAAAATAAAATTAATTAATTCAATAATGTCATGGATTACAATAATCAATAACATATTTGCTCTGACAGGGATGTTTAAATAAAAAGAAAGTTAAATTAATTTTCACAATAAAATATTTGATATTTTGCTAATGATTTCATATTTAGCAAATTTGGAGAATCTCATTATAATACATAAGCAAAAATATAAAAAATAACTGGGTCAGAATTTCTCAAACGGGCCACCTGAATTAGTTCAAAATTAGTTTTTGATTGTAGATACATTTTTTCGATAGTATTTTACATCACTAACACAAATCCTAAAGGATTTTGTAAAAAAAAAATTTTCAATTGACATATTCATGATATTAAAAGTAAAAGTTTTTAGTAATTAAAAAATAAAAAAAAATCATTATGGCTAAACTAATTATCCGATTCCAACGATTTAACTAGCGTTGGAATCTTGTTTTGACATAGATTCTTTGTTATTTTTTTCAATTCTACAATTTTCATTTAGGTCGATTTTTTTTTGTTTTTTTTATAACAAATTCGGAAATAATTGGCTTCTGCGCCAGCTATCGACTCGAAAAAAAAAACACATATACTCCAATCATTTTTCGAAATTATGCTGCTGAGAAAAAAAATGGCCCGCAGGTTCCAGACCACCGTAAGACGTCGCGTCACAAGCGCGTACAGCGTACACGGTTCGGAGCGTGAGCTGACACCGCGCGCGGCCATAAAGGACGAATAACTTTTTGTCAACCTGCGGGCCATTTTTTTTCTCAGCAGCATAATTTCGAGAAATGATTGGAGTATATGTGTTTTTTTTCTCGAGTCGATAGCTGACGCAGAAGGCAATTATTTCCGAATTTGGTATAAAAAAAACAAAAAAAAATCGACCTAAATGAAAATGGGACAATTGAAAAAAATAACAAAGAATCTATGTCAAAACAAGATTCCAACGCTAGTTATATCGTTGGAATCGGATAATTAGTTCAGCCATAATGATTTTTTTTATTTTTTAATTATTAAAAACTTTGAATTTTAATATCATGAATATGTCAATTGAAAATTTTTTTTTACAAAATCCTTTAGGATTTGTGTTAGTGATGTAAAATACTATCAAAAAAATGTATCTACAAACAAAAACTAATTTTGACCTAATTCAGGTGGCCCGTTTGAGAAATTCTGACCCAACTATAATTTAAAGAATATAATTACTTAATAAATTTAATTATCCTTGATTAATCTTCACAATGTGTGAGGACATCTGAGAGAAGACCTACCTACATTCGACGTTTTCTCAGATTGCGTCACATATTTAAAAATATTTTAGTACTTAAAAAAAATCCTACAAATAAATTAAAACATAATGTAAATTGAATTTCGCGCAGTTCCGTTTCACAAATGAAATCGTAATCATCAGAAACCTCTAAAAACCTCTTTGTAACAAAAAACATTATGTTGAGGTAAATTATTGGTCTTCAATCACAATTAAATTTTATTCAATTTCGCCGAGCCAGAGCAAGAAAAATTAGTTTTAACCATCAAAATGAGCTTCGATTCCTTGCCATTCATTATGTTGCTTACAATTTTCCACCACTATTCCGGCCAACAGCTTTACTGCACAAGGTGGCCCTGGCGTTTTCATTAGTTTTTTTAGTAGATCCAAACCCCCCTCTTTTTCAATAAGACTACAATATTTTTCCGCTAAAAAAAGTTAATATATGAATACCTTTGCAAATCGTGCCTAAACAAGAACATAAAAAATAGGCATTTAAATGGCATTCAACAAAATTAGTATTGGGTGTATGCTTCTTCTTGATTTATTTCTCTTTTAAAAAAAATATTTACGATTAACTATTGTGTTTTTTATTATTTAAATGACTTTTAAGTAATTTAATTATAATTATTATTATTTATACACAGGGTGTTTGTAAAAGGTAAATTTTGCATAGTTCTGAAGTTATTATAAAATGGCTTATGCAATTTTGCTCAAATTTGGTACATTGACATACTTTAATGTGGCAAAAAAATTATATTATAATTATGACACAGAAAGAGGTCTAATACTATCAGGGTTTTTGCAAAATTTGAATTTTAAAAATTTGCAGTATATTTCACAAAAAAATTAAGTTACTAAAAAATAATATTAATTTGCACCAGATATTATTTTAATATAAAATTGAATTTCTTACAAATATGTTTATTAGTATACAATTTATTGGTGCATTCCAAATGAGTTTTGTGTTATCAGCAATTACCACCGCACATATGGAACGCTCCAAAACGAAAAATTTCTTTGCCTTTGAATTGATATTAATTATTATTGCAACAGACATCTGCGTATGCAACTGCTGTAAGTTATGCACACTCTTTTACATCCGCTTCTGCGCCTGGTTCCAAATTTATATATCAAAATAGCGACAAGCGCGCTTATTGGCTGAATGCGCCGGCGCACACTGTGGCCAAGTCCGTGTTGTACTGTCTATAAGTCAAGTTAAAAAAAAATTAAATTTTTATTCGAAACGATAATGAAACCTTAATTTTTTATAATCAACAAAAAAAATCGGGATATTTCAATGTTACAAACAAATAACCCTAATCAGGGCTCCCACGGCAAAATTACAAATTTTATTTAGGAATTTAGGAGGTTTTTTGTAAAATTTTAGGAGAAATAAAGTATGGAAATGAATTTCTTTAATTAAATAAAAACAACTCTATACCAAATACTTCAAAAATAAGAAAAAAATAATACTTATTTTGTAAAAATAAGTTATATTGACTAGTTTTTTAGCCCAATCGCTCGACGAGTTTTTTTTTTTAATAAAATTAAAAGTGAGGTAAAATTGCTACTTTTGTATATATCTGAGGTACATATATATACAAGTATAAATTTCACCACACTTTTAATTTTATTTAAAAAAAAGCGTCGATAGATTTGGTTTAAAAACTATGCCAAAATCATATGATGTTATATTTATATTTTAAGAAAAAATATGTTAACCGTTTAGTTAATAACTAACAGTAATTAAATCGGTAAGATTAAGAATAGTACAAGTCCAAAAGTAAAATGTTTGATAAAATATTTCAAAAAATCAGTTTTATATTTCTAAATTTAGAACTATAAAACTGATTTTTTGAAATTTTTTGAAATATTTATGCATTTATGCATTTTTGTTAGACTATTTTATGAAATATAATATTCAAATTCTGTAAAATAATTTTTATCTTCTCACAAGAATGTATTTTAAACTTTAAAATGGATTTTAGAAAATAAATTGTCAAAATTAAATTTTTGGACTTGTACTGTTCTTATTCTCACCGATTCAATTGTAATGTGTATCTTAATACTTAAAAATCTCATAACAAAATATGAAGTTTGCAAAATACAGCAAAACATTTTTTAGATTGTTTACTATTTTAGCTGTCATTTAAAAGAAACTTAAAAATCCTTTTGTTGATATACACGTTTGTATAACACGGTATATTTTTGACTAAAAAACGAAATATCGTTGTTGTTTTTTAAGAAAAATTTTGGTTGTGATATTATATCATTTTAAAAAGAGTTTAATAGAATAGAACCTAAAAATATATATTTTTAAATTACTTTTTAAAACAGAATTTTTTTAGCACTACCTTAATTAAACGCAAGTCAAGTTGGAATATTTAAATTTAATTTTTAGTATTTTAGGAGTTTTAGGAGATTGATTGCCATTTTAGGAGAATTTTAGGAGTTTTCAAAATTTAAGTAAAATTTTAGGAATTTTATGAGTTTTAGGAGGTGTGGGAGCCCTGCCTAATATACAAGCTATTTACAGTGTGGCCCATTTGTTTGCGACTCACCCCTGTAAAATCTTTATTTATTGTGCGATTTTAATCGGATTTGTTTTAAAGTGTAGATCTTGATAAACAGTATTTTTGATACAAAATACAAGGCTTACTATGTCAGTTTTTAAGAGTAAATTTTTAAGAATTAATATTAGCGATTTTTTTAAACAAAATCTAAGCACGGCACTGGATTTATCACCCCTCAAAACGACCCTTTACTAAATTTTATTGAAAAATTTTAAGTAGAAAAATGCACAATAATAACTACAAAAATTTATTCCGTCAAGTTATCCATGAAAAAAACATTGAAATAAAATTAAACTTATAGTAATAATACCAAATTGTTGTGGCCTTTTTGGTGTGTTAACTAAATTTTATATTAAATATGTATTAAATGGTATATCTTATCTTGTTATGACCAAAGAATTTTATAAGTAACATTAAAATATTTGCTTTTTATCGAGCTTTTTATCCTTGTTTTTAAAACATTTTCAGAAAATAAAACTGTCAAAATTTTGGTGCGTGAACGAAATTTCTTGATAAATGTGTGTTAAATGAAATATTTTATCTTGTGAACAAAAAAAGGTTTATAAATAAAAGTTATTTACTCCAACTTAAAAAAAAATAATTTTGGAACTTTAATTTCCCATTGGCCACATTGTCCGGCGGCGCAGTAGGTCGCTAAATTATTGTTTATTAAATATAATATAAGTATAACTTAAAATTAAAAAAATATATGTTATTTGTTATAATATTTGTCAACGCTGTATACAGCTATAAGTAGTAAATTTTTGCAGAAGCATATATATTAGGGTGGTCCATATTTTGAGAAATTTTGAATTTTTTGCTCTCAGGGGTTCAAAGGGTTCGAAATAAATAAAAAGAAATATTTTCCAAGTTTCAAGTCCCTAACTTAATATTAACCCGTGCCGCACTGCAGTTTAAGTTTCCTATGTAAATAACATGGGATTTTCAGCATTGAATAATTAATTATTTATTTCGGACAAAGTAACTGTTTAAAAAATTTGAAACTTGTCCTTAGAATTTTTACAGATTTTAAGCTATTATAATTTTAAAGTTTTAGCTACATGATTTTCTTAAATTTAATAAAAATCATATAGATGAAACTCTAACAATATCATTGCTAAAAATCCGTTAAAATTCTAACGAATAGCTACTATTATAAGGTTAAATTCTGACAAGTTTCAAATTTTTTGAACAGTTACTTTGGCCGGAATAAATAATTAATTATTCAATGCTGAAAACACCATGTTATTTACATAGGAAACATAAACTGCAATGCGACACGGGTTAATATTATGTTAGGAACTTGAAACTTGGAAAATATATTTTTTTATTTATTTCGAACCCTTTGAACCCCTGAGAGCAAAAAAAATCAAAATTTCTTAAAAAATGGACCACTCTAATATACAGGGTGATTCAAAACTCGAGGCGAAAAATTAAGAAATGTATACAGTTTTATATTCTTGATAAAAAATGTAAAATAACATTTTTGGAGATATGGCTTTGTTTCCGAAATATTAGACTTTAAAGTTTCTGTATGCGACCAATTTAATTTCATAAATTACAGTAAGCCTAGAAATAAGTGAGTTTACTGTCACCTGGTGACAGTCAACAAAAATTGTTTACAAATTTAAAAGTTGCTTTGTTGGATTAGTTGTTTTGTTAATCATGCAGTTTTCTAACGAAGAATACAGTCCGTTCAAGCTAAGTTGAGCTCTGTGGTGGGGGATTAAATTAAATATCGAATCGTCGCGAGATTTCGGTAACAAGAAGATGATTTATCCAGAGACATTTATCCTTGTCTCTGATTTATCAGTGCCGCGGCTTGACGTTTGTTCGTACAGAGCGGCTACCGAAATAGACATGTATTTAATTGTGCCAGAACATAGAGATGATGGACGGGGAGACATTAATTAGACCGCTTAACTTAGCCTGAACAGACAGTATGCATGCCGTAATGAACAAGTATGGTCCTGAGAAAATCCTCACGCAGTTTTTAACAAATCGTCACCTGAGAATTATAGTGTTCTATCTGCATTTTCTTTTTTTTATTCAGGTTAGTCTTGTTTTAAGTCTTAAAGATGATATTGATCTATCTATATATAATTGGGGTAGAAATTGTAAAGTTTAAGGCTTAAACTGTACAATTTCTACCCCAATTATATATAGATAGAACAATATCCATCTTTAATACTTAAAACAAGACTAACCTGAATAAAAAAAAGAAAATGCAGATAGAACACTATAATTCTCAGGTGACGAAATGTTCTCTATTAATATATGGGGCGGAGTCTTTAACGGACAATTACTTCCGATTCAAGTCCTTCCAAATCGTTTGGATGCATATGCGTACTTGCAATTTTTAGAAAACAATCTCACAAATTTGCTGGAAGATTTTCCTGTGGATTTGGTATACAATCGTATGTGGTATCAGCACGACGGAGCACCACCGCCTGTTGGACGAAATGTTGTCGCCTGGTTAAACCAAACTTTTAATGGTAGATGGATTGGTCGGTGTGGTCAGGTGCTATGGCCTGCGAGATCACCTGACTTGAACCCTTTGGACTATTTTGTATGGGGCCATTTAAAATAACTTACGCAGTGGAAATTAATAACCAAGAACAATGCAACATGCAATTAGTGTACGATTCCCTTATTTTGCGTTGCCAAGCCTGCATTGGTGGTAATGGTGGTATTTTTGAACATTTGATTTAATTTTTTTTTATATTTTTATATTATGTAATAAAGTTAAAAATTTATCACATGCAAATACTTTGAAGTCTAATATCTCGGAAACAAAGCCCTATCTCCAAAAATTTTATTTTACATTTTTTATCAAGAATATAAAACTGTATAAATTTCTTAATTTTTCGCCTCGAGTTTTGAATCACCCTGTATATATATATATATATATATATATATGCTTTTGTTTCTGTTACATTTCCGTTGATCACTAATATTAGTTAAAATTTCGATAACAATTTTTTGTAGCAAAATCACATAAGCTGTATTAAATTTATTATAAAAAACGGACGTATATGTAAGTATATTATATTATAGTATACTTACGATAAACCTTTGTTAGATTGGCTAGAGCCCACACAGCCCAGTACTGACACTCTGGAGTGTGATAAACCTTAACCAAGTACAAGATGGGTTCAAAAGATCGGTAGTTGATGTTTCTCTGCGAGCTTATGTCCCATCTTTCTATGGCTGAAACCATTTTTTTCAAAACGGCTGCTCTTGATGGATTTGCCACATTCCACACCTAAACAAAATTTATTAAGTATTAAGCATGTTACCCTAAATAGAACGTACATTTTTACTCAATTTATTCTTTAGTAGTTCTTTTGTAACGGGTTTTCGTTTTTAAGTTAAGTTTTAATTAAACATTGAAAAAATAGTTTGTACTTAATAACTTTCGAACACTAAAAGATAAGAAATAAAAACGTTAGCAAGTTCTTTATTTGGTAATGCTCAAGTAGAAGTAAACAATAGTATAGTTCTATGACTAGTGGAAAAAAGAGGAGATTCCTTGAGGTTGGAGTGGAATCTATTTTTTATACTCCTTTTACGGAATATAACAATAATTATATTAGAATTATTCTAATATCACTTTTTAATATGGAATTACATATATTCCTTAAAGTGTTCCAGAATGAATTATTCTATCACCGGATGACGGAAAACAGTCTTCGCTACATCTCTGTGTTAGTTATTTAACAACTTTTAAACCGATCTAACCTCACTCCTATTTTTTGGAAACGTAGAAAAAGTAGTCAGAAACACATTTGGAATAGCATATTCCGCCCTCGTGAAACTTTTCACTTGAGCGGAATATGCCGTATTCCAAACTTGTTACAGAATATACTATTATTGACGCAATAGCAATAGTCGCACACAATATCTTATTATAATACTATCATAAATTTTATAATTGAAATATTCTGTAACAAGTTTGGAATACGGCATATTCCGCTCAAAGTCGTTTTTTCGCGTAAATACCATGAAATACTATGGTTATTAAACTTAACCTTGGTTAATAGTTAAGGCATTTTTACGTTTAGAGTGCGTTCAAAAATCCTAACTATGACGTCACAAATACCAGACCATAAAACTATATCGCTGAGCTAGTTATTCAACGTGGTTAATAGTCTTTCTCTTCTTAATATATATTTTTCTGTTTCGATCTGTCAAAAAGTTGTTTACATTTGAAATTTAAAATATTTTAAGTAGGTACAATTGCTCTTAAACCGAATTTAAACTTTGTATTAAAATGGTAAACGGGGTGTTGTCAGTAAAAATAAATGATAGGGTGCTCCATATTGTGGACTCTCCACAAGTGGAGGAATTATATGCAGGTTTGTTTTATATTTTTCCTTATTTTGTATTAAACATGTAGGAGAATTGGATAACGTGTATTGAAAAAACTAGTACCTATAGAAAAAGAATATACTAGGTATAAGATGAGGCAAAGAAATTTATTTACACCGGTAAAAGCATAGAAATTAAATATAAATATAGGTAAAAACCACAGACCTACAAACAAAATGGACTGGCCTTTCCTATTCAAAATACACAATGTTTTGTAGGTCTGTGGTAAAAACACATTTCAAAAATTATAGGTTATGAACAAGTAAACAAATGTCAAATGTTAGAAACCTAACCATGGTTATATGAATTAACTGTGACGTCATGACTTATTTAACCGTAGTATTACATAGTATTTACGCGAAAAAACGACTCAAGTGAAAAGTAAAAATTTTTAGAGCCCATACAAAATATTTTTATAAATAAGCATACAACTGCTGCCAATAAAAAAATCATACATTATGATAAAAATGCTTTTAAAAATAATTTCCCAGAAAAAAACACAAATTGTTAAAAATGCATGGAATTTTCAAATAAAACATGATAACATGAGATTGATTGGAAAATCTTAAGATCTCATGCAAAAGCATGAGACCTGGCAACATTGCACATAAATGTTACATTCGCGTCACTGTTCGCGATTCCCACCAAAAATAATATCTTTGATTCCCAGTCACGGTGTGCCTGAACGAAGTTTAGGTCACATAAAAATGACGCCCAAAACTGATTGCATTTTCTTGTTCGGGACCCTTTGATGACTTAAAAATGATATTTACCAAAATCCTAGCTGATCCTCTTTTCGAAATTTTTTGAAAATTCATGATTTTTTTTTAAATTTTTGTTTATCTTAATGTCTACCTTTGACAGAGTACACATTTGTACACCAATTTTTATAATATTGGAGTATATTGTTAAGGAGGTTTGGAGAATACTGTTTATGCTGTGCACATCATTTAATATATACAGGGTTAGCCAAAACTTGCTCCTTTTAATAAAGCAAAACCGTAAATTCATGATTTTAACATAACACGAAAAAAGATATATACCAACCCATGTTTTTTTTTAGATATTTTTGTGTTTATCAGGCTAAAAAATAGGATTCTTATCAAAACTTTATAAGAAAAATTGATTTTGAATAAAATTAAATAAAATAATTTTTTTTGGAGATAAATCTGTTTTGTGCATTATGCTTTTTACTATATATAAAAACGTGATTTTTGGCTAACCCTGTACAAATCTAATGATGTGCTCAGTATGAAAACAGTATTCTCCAAGTCTCGTTAACAATATACTCCAATATTATAAAAATCGGTGAACAAATGTGTACTCTGTCAAAAGTAAGATAAACAAAAATTAAAAAAAAAATAAGAATTTTCAAAAAATTTCGAAAAGAGGAGCAGCTAGGATTTTGGTAAATATCATTTTAAAGTTACCAAAGGGTCCCGAACTAGAAACTGCAATCAATAAAAATCGGTGTACAAATGTGTACTCTAGCAAAGGTAGACTTTGCGATAAACAAATAATTAAAAAAAAAATGATTTTTTAACAAATTTAAAAGCAGTTAGAATTTTGGTAAATATCGTTTTTAAATCTCCAAAGAGTGCCGATCAAAAAACTTTAACCAGTTTTTCTTTCAAAATTGAAAACTTCTAGAAAGCCAAAATTAAACAACATTTTAAATATTCTCTAAGCGTTATTTTATTTAATTTTATTAAAAATCTATTTTTTAATAAAAGGTTAATAAGAATGCCATTTTGTAACCTAATAAACGTAGAAATATCTAAAAAAAAATGGGGATACATCTGTTTTGCGTGTTATGCCAAAATCATGAATTTACGCTTTTGCTTTATTAAAAATAAGCGATTTTTGGCTCACCCTGTATATATCAAATTATGTGAACAGTATTAAAAAGTATCCTTTAAGTCTCCTCAATAATATACTCTAATTTTATAAATTCGGTGTACAAATGTGTACTCTGTCAAAGGTAGACTTTGAAATAAACAAAAATTTAAAAAAAAATCGTAAATTTTTAAAAAATTTCGAAAAGAGGATCAGCTAGGATTTTGGTAAATATCATTTTTAATTCACCAAAGGGTCCCGAACAAGAAACTGCAATCAGTTTTTGGCGTCATTTTTATGTGACTTAAACTTCGTTCAGGCACACCGTGCAGTACCAACCAACCCACATTGCCAATTCTTTATAGCAAAAAAAACTACATAGTGCATAAGATTTATGTCATCTAAATACGATCACCCCAATATTACAAAAATGGTAGATTATGTCTTTTTGTTCTGAGCTTAAAAGTTTGCAGCCGAGGCGCTTTGCGCCAAGGCCAACCAATTGAGCGAAGCACAAAAAGACCTTCTCCTTCGTATAACATATACTATTTTATCTTTTTAACAAAAACCATAAACTTAATATGAATGCGAGTCTGTCAATGACAGATGCTTTCTCCGAAAGCATAGGCGGAGATAATATAAATCATAGAAAAACTATGATATGATATGATATAAATGAAATAGGGATTTAATGTATCTCATTATTGTACTAGGAAAATAAAGTTATTCATTTACTAATACAATAATGAATAACTTCTAAGGGCTGCGTTAAGGCTAATACTATTGATATTATATTATGTTAGAAAATATAAAAACTTGGTTTATTTCTCTTAAAATGAAAATTTAGGTAAAATAGGTAAAAAAAATAGGCTCCAATGAAATTATTTTCTTCAAAAAGGATTTTATTCCATTGCACCTAAAGTTATAATTAGCATATACAAATAGGTGATAACACTAAAATTCCATGTCTAGGTATACGTTTGGTGCTTGTTTCTGCGTCAATTTTTTTTTGCCAAAATTATTCTTAAACGCATACTTTATTGCGACATGAATTTTTTTTACCAAGACTTTTTTAGCATATCTGGTTTATACAAGCAATTCTGATATAATTATTGTGGTCTTTTTGGTGCACGAACAAAATGTTGTATTAATTATTTGCACAAATAGCATGTATTAAATGGTATATTTTATTAACTGCCAACATAGAAATTATCGCATTTTATTATTATTTTTTCAACATTTTTGTTTAGAAATTTGGAAATTATTTTATAAATATGTGTTAAATGGTATTTTTTATCCTGTTGCGAACAAAAAAGCATTGTCAACACCAAATAGAATGTCATTTTCCTGATTTAAACAGGGTGAAAACTATAAACTTTTCAAAAAATGTTTATAGGGCGAAAAGTGAATATTTTATGTAATCTATACATAATTTAAACAAATTTGAAATTTGTTATAATGAATTGAACATTTAAAAAGGAAAGACAATAAAAATATTAGTCTTAAGACTCTTAACCACTTCTTACAAATAAGAAATTTCAACTTTAATTTGGAAACGAAAACCTACGTTTGTAAACGCTAAAAAAGCATTGGGTTTTCGCAACGCGCGCGCCATCTTGTGGTCTTCGATAGCATTGTGTGAATTCAAGAATTGTCAATAAATATGTAGTTTTTTCACTTACTCGTGTGTGGATTGGTATGAAAAAAGTCACCAACTTTTCCCCCAGACTTGCATGCAACCGGCAATAAAAATCGGACAAGACCGATATTTTGAAACGGCAATAAACTTGCACGAAACGTCGAAATGCGCATGCCTTCGTGCAAGAGTATTGCGAATTGCATATAGAATTGCAGACTGTAATACGGGTTTTACAGTCAGCAATAAAACTTGCATGCAAGAAAAATTGCAGACTGTAATAAGGCCTCAAGAAATTCTTTAATTAAATGCTTAAAAAATAGGTGGCGAAGGCTTATTAATTGCCTCACACACACACCATCTACTGCCTCCGCAGTAAAATGTATGCTTGGCGATAATGTGCTTTCTTCGCCTGGCCTATAATATACTTTTTTTTGCGTACAATTTTCACTATTGTGTTTTACTAAGGAATCAACCGTTTATTTTTTCCAGAGTTTAGGCTACCCGTGTTTTAATTTAAATTTTATTGAATTATGTAGACAAAATCTTATAAAAAGGAATATTGTATCCCGCATTTCTCGTTCAGTATACACTACTTTGGTGATATTTTTAAAATTAAGTAGACTTATGCAGGGCTACCATGGTTAAATAACAAATTTTATTTAGGAATTGAGGAGGGTTTTTGGAGAATTTTAGGGGAAATAGTACGGCAATGTATTTCTGTAATTAAATAAAAACAACTCTACATTGTACTTAAATAAATTAGAAAAAAATAAATATTTTTTTTAATAAAAATATAAATAAATATCAGTTCTTTTGTATAAATAGGTTACACTGACTAGTTTTTTAGTCAAATCGCTCGAGTTTTTTTGAATAAAATTAAGTGAGGTAAAATTACTAATTTTGTATATATCTGAGGTATATACACAAGTAGAGGGAGGCTAGAAAGTCTTACAAAAAAGAGTTAAGGCGCAGCAAGGATATCAGCTGGAAGACATACTGTGGAACTGTAGAGTCACTTCAGGAGTCAACCAGGCTGATGAAGATCCTTAGCTGTGACTCAAAAAGGAATGTAGGAATCCTAAGAAGGTTGGATGGATCGTGGACGAACACCAGTGAAGAGTCCCTAAGACATCTCCTGGAAACGCACTTCCCCGGCGAAACTCCTTCCCACACGTCAACAACGGAGGGGCCAGAGATCCTTACCTGGGACTTAGGCCTTGCCAAAGACGTTGTGAAGGAGGGATCGGTGGAATGGGCAGTAAATGCGTTCGATCCATACAAGGCAGCAGGACCGGATGGAATATTCCCAGCATTGCTACAGAGAGGCTTGGAGATTCTTCTCCCAGGAATAGAACGAATATTCCGAGCCAGTCTTGCACTGGGATATGTCCCAAGAGCCTGGAGGGCAGCTAAAGTGGTCTTTATACCCAAAGCAGGGAAAAAAGACTACTCGGCTGCAAAGTCCTTCAGGCCAATAAGCCTAACATCCTTTCTTCTTAAAACATTAGAAAGGATTGTGGACCGGTACCTGCAAGAAGGGGTGCTGAAAAGGTACCCATTCCATAAGAATCAACATGCCTATAGAAATGGAAGGTCGACCGAAACGGCTCTTCATTCTATAGTGCATAGAGTCGAAAAGGCACTGCACTACAAGGAAATGGCACTAGCTGTTTTCTTTGATGTAGAGGGGGCTTTTGATAAGGCGAGGACATCTACAATCTGTGAAGCGCTACAAGCCAGAGGCACTCCCCCAGTCCTGGTTAGTTGGGTTAAATCCTCACTGGAGGAGAGGCAGGTCAGTGCATCTCTGGGAGACTGCCATTTGGACATCGGTGTGAGGGGCGGCTGCCCACAAGGCGGCTGCATATCACCCCACCTATGGTGTTTAATAATGGATGGACTTCTGGAGAGACTGACGGCCGAAGGGCTGTATGCACAAGCATATGCAGATGATGGTACAGTCCTAATCAGAGGAGGCATTCTAGGTGTAGTCTGCGACAGAATGCAGACAGCATGCAGAATAATAGAAAATTGGTGCAAAGAAAACGGTCTGTCGGTTAACCCAACAAAAACTGACATGATTCTTTTTACCAAACGAAGGAAGATACAGGACTTCAGGGCACCAGTCATGTATGGAAGACCTCTTGAGATTACTGAAGAGGTCAAGTACCTAGGTGTTACCCTAGATAGGAAGTTAAGTTGGAAATCACACGTCGACAGAGTTGTTGACAAATCGATTGCAACTTTCTGGCAGCTGCGCCGGGTGGTGGGAAAACGCTGGGGAGTAAATCCCAAAGTCCTTCACTGGATTTATACTGCTGTCATCAGACCGCGGATACATTATGGATCAGTGGTCTGGTGGCGCAATGTGAGCAAAACCACCATCGCTCAAAAACTGAGCAAGATACAGAGACTGGCATGTCTCGGTATCACAGGCGCAATGAGGACTACTCCAACGACGGCATTAGAGGCCTTGCTGAGCTTGCCTAGTCTTTCCCTCTGGATAAAGAGAGAAGCAATGGCGAGCCATTTAAGGATGAGGGATGCCAACAATTGGTTAGGAAAAGGAATAACTTATGGTCATGAGGGCATCGCGGATATGGCTGAGAGGGAGGTCCCAATTAGCAGTATTAGAACGATGCCAGCAAAAGACCGCCTAAGTTTAAAAAAGAAGTTTTCCCTCACGATACCAACAAGAGAGCAGTGGGAGAAAAAGGATGTACACTTTGCACAAAATGCACTAGTGTGCTACACTGATGGCTCTCGTATGGCGAGTACACTGTCTTCAGGGGGAGGGTTCTGCGTGGAGGACAGGAATATCCAAAGGAGCTACCCGCTCGGAGGATATACCACTGTCTTTCAAGCGGAAGTGTTTGCCATACTTGAGGTTGCAAACTGTGAGGATATAAGAACAGGGAGTGAGACAGATATATACATCTGCTCAGATAGCCAAGCAGCTCTGAAAGCGCTTTGGGCAGCGAGAACCACATCGAAGTTGGTTCAAGAGTGTGAGGAAGCGCTGGAAAAGCTAGCAAGCACAAAAAGAGTGCATCTCGTATGGGTACCAGGTCATAGTGGGGTTGAAGGTAACGAACGGGCTGATGAGTTGGCCAGATTGGGATCTGAAACCCCCTGTGTAGGACCCGAACCAATTTTTGGAATTACGAGAAAGCAGGTCAAATCAGCAGGTCAAATCAGCCCTAAATAATGGGCTGATAAAAGGGCGAACGAAAGCTGGAGAAGAAGCGGTGGCTGTAGGCAGACCAGGGATTTCCTGGTCACCCTAAGCAAACCCAAATCCATCTGGCTTCTAGGTAGGAGCCGAACCTCCTTGGGCCCACTTGTGAACATACTCACGGGTCATGGCCTAAGGAAACACCTCACGAGAATAGGGGCTGAAACCAGCTCCTCCTGTACCCAGTGCGGAAGGGAGGATGAAACCTCCTTTCACTTCCTGGGACAATGTGAGGCCCTCGGCAGACTAAGGTATAAAATCTTTGGAGTGATGACACTCCAAAGGGAAGAGTTGGCCTCTCTTGCCTGGCAGGATATCCTGACCTTTATAAGAAGGTCTGGAAGATTCGAAAGGGCTGGTATGGGCGAAGAGGAAGATGAGGAGTAGTTTGGTTGGTTTAGGAGGGGCAGATAAAAAGGACCATGGAGTCTAATTGTCAGGCTTCGAGCCTACCCAACCGTACTACTACTACACAAGTAGAAATTTCACCACCCGTTTAATTTTTAATAAACTAATGAGGATCTTTATACTCAAAAATCTCATAATAAAAAAAATAAAGATTGCATAATACAGCAAAACATTCTTTAAATTTTTTTTGTTTGATACATATTACGGTATTTTTTGCGAAAACAAACAAAATACGGCTACAAAATGACAATGTTGTAGAAGCTACTACATGTATTTTGTTTGTTAGGTATATTTTGTTGTTTTTTAAGAAAAATGTAGGTTGTAATATGAAATTAAAAAAAAAATTTAATAAACTAGAACCTAAAAATATATATTTTTTAAATAACTTTTTTCAAAAAGAAATTTTTTATCGCGACAACTTCATGGCAATTTTAGGAGAATTTTAGGAGTTTTCAAGATTTAAGCCAAATTTTAGGAATTTTATGAGTTTTAGGAGGTGTGGGAGCCCTGCTTATGTAATACAAAACAAAAAGGACCCTTATAGTAAATTAGGAAAAGCAAAAAACAGTTAAACTAGTCAGAAGTTAAAAGTGTTTATAAATTTACCTCGGGTCCGTCCGATGCAATATGTGATATGACTCCGGCCGCATTGTAACTGACTTCTATGCCGTCACTCCGAGAGTCCAATAAGTTTGAGAAAACCTCCAAATATTCCGAAGTAAGCAGGTAGTGACGCAGCTCCTGGACTTCGGCCACATTTCCAAGCAAACCCATCATATTTCTTAGTAGTTCTTCCTTATCGGGAAATTTCTAACCAAAACATTAAGCAATTTTTAATACCCTAGTAATATTATAAATACATTTGTAAGCATTAAACATGTTTAATTTACCTCTAAACATGACAAGAAAAATTCCATGCCATTGCATTCTAAAAATTTCCGACAATTCGATGGAGTTTCATCGGTTACATTCCACATCGTCGACCATGCTACTTCCAAAACATCATCGCACAGATTCTTTTTCAGTCTTTCCGATATTAACCATATCATTTTCTACAAAATACACATTTAACACAAAAACTAAAACGAGGAATTTTTTTTACATACACTTATTGCTCCCAGATCCCCCAACTTAACTTTTTGCTGCCCATCCACTTGACAAGCCAAAGAATTTAATAAATAGATTCCTATTCTTTGTACAAAACTTTCCTGTTGCATCCCATGAACTGAGTGAAGCAAAATATCCACCAAGCGCTCATAATCAAACAACTAAAAACATTAAATATACCAAATTTGGATAAGAACATACAAATAATGACTGTCGCAGGGCCGTGCGTAGGATTTTCTCCTGGAGGGGTTATGGCACTTTATAAACGTGCCTTTAATGAACTAAAGGCCCTATAAAGGCTAACTCTAATGGAACTGTAAATATTATGTCGCGTTCACCTTTAATGGGCATGTAACAGCAGTCAATAAAGGCACTTACAAGAAGCAATCCATTTTTTGATAATGCGCTAAAGGTTCTGATATGGCAGATTAAAGGTACAAATGTGGCAAGCTAAAGTTTCTGATATTTTAATAAAAAAAAACCTACGCCTCTGGTTACTTTACTATGTATGTCAATCAACTAGAAATATATTTTCATAATAAACTCTTTACAATGTACTTATGTCTCTTCTTGTAACCCAAACATCAAGTAGTTCACAAGAAAAGGAGGTAGATAATGTCTTAAAACTAATCGCTAAATTTTTTTTCAACACTGATGAAACTCAATTTGTACAATTTTATGTTGGACAAATGAATCTAACATTAAATCAATACTGGCTGCACAATTCTTGGGTTTAACATTAACTTTTTCAAGTCACTGTGAACTAATTGTAAATAAGCTAAATTCGTTGGTATTTTTGTTTAATAACCTAAAAACGGTCCTTAACAGGATCGGTTTGTACTATGCTCAGGTTGAATCACGCTTTTTTTTATATTTTTAGACTCTCAAACAAACATACTTGTAAAAAAGTATTTAGAGAATATATTATACTCACCAGAGCTGGGCACGAGTACTAAAAAAAGTATTCGTAAAATTTTAAGTAGGAGTACTTAAAATATTTACTCGTAAGTATTTTACTCATGTACATTTGTAAATAGAGGTTATGGTTACGAGTAAAGAGAACGAGTGCTTTTGAAAAAAAAATTAAGTTAATATAATTGATTATTCTTTATACATTAGACCAGAGATCTCTGATTAGACATACTTTGGTCCTGAGCTATAAAAATACAAATACAAATCTATAAAATTATTTATTTTAAACATTAGGTATATAAAATAATAAATAAAAATAACAATTCTTAAATAGTTTATAATTTTACATATACCTGTTATAAAACCTAAAGGCTTTAATATATGATATTATACCTACTATATATTATATAATTTAAAACAGACTTCCAAACAAAATGTTTTGATGCTTGCAATATTTTGACAAAAAGTCATCGATAATAAACGGAAATACTTGTATATATTACTCGTGAATTCCACGAGTATTTTTTACGGGTACATTGAATTTGGTTTGTAAGTACAAGTAATAAGTATTTTAAATGAAAAATACTTATGAGTAAAAAAGTACTCGTACTTTTATACTCGTAATTAAAATACGAGTAAAAGTATTCAGTACTTGGCCAGCTCTGATACTCACATTGGCCAGTCCTTACAGTATTAATTCTTTTTAGTACTTTAGTACTTTTAGTTTAAATTAAAACTATTTTAAAATTAATACTTTTAAATATGAATTAAAATTGCTTTTAACATCTACAGCCTAATTTATAGATTGCCTTCCTTCCTTCCTGGAATTGACAAATAGTAGTAAGTATAAGTTTGAATCCATAATATTTTGTAACCAATTGCATAGTAGCGAAATCTCCCCGAAATTTTCAGTTTTCCATAATTGATTATAATCAATTAAAATCTGAGTAATGTTTGAAATATTTTTATACTCTATTTGACTTTAATGTATTTATCCCTCCAAAAATGTTACTTACTACACCACTGCTTGTAACCTTGCTAAGGTCCTTCATTGGCGTCTTTTATATTTACAGTGTGTCTCACTTTTCATGACTCCCATATTGTAGCTCCGTTATTAGTAATACGATTTTTACAAAATTTTGGTCAATTGGACTTACCCATCAGGTGATCATGACGCAAGAAAAAAATTTAATTTTCACCAGTGGCGTTCGTTGTTATAACAAAAAAACAACAATTTTTTTTAGAAAAATATATTAGGCAATTTTTAAATGGTCTGATAATAACATATTGTTATTTAGCATCATCGAAAACCCCCCTATACCAAATATGAAATTGATAGCATACAGGGTGTTGACGTAATTAATAATTAAATCTAACTTATTATAGCACTATAAATTAATTATAACATCGGTGAATTTTATCCTATAATTTTTTTTTCGTTTGAAATGCCGCACCATTTTATCGTTTTAGACAGCTTCAAACCTTACATTTATCCAGGTTTATTATTTCGAGCTACTTTCCGAACACTGGCATGAAGATCCATTCTAAATGCTTGAATTATTTGGGCATCGTGAATGTGTGGTACATTATTGTGAATAAAAAATATCAGTGTGCCATGACCGTTTCCATAGTAAAAAACAATTGAATTAATAAAGAAATCTGACATTTCAGTTTAAATCGTTGTTATAATTAATTTATAGTGATAGAATATGTTAGATTTAATTATTAGTTACGTCAACACCCTGTATGCTATTATTTTCATATTTGGTATAGGGGGGTTTTCGATGATGCTAAATAACAATATGCTATTATCAGACCATTTAAAAATTGCCTAATATATTTTTCTAAAAAAATTTGTTGTTTTTTTATTATAACAACGAACGCCACTGGTGAAAATTAAATTTTCTTCTTTCGTCATGATCAACTGATGGGTAAGTCCAATTGACCAAAATTTTGTAAAAATCGTATTACTAATAACGGAGCTACAATATGGGAGTCATGAAAAGTGAGACACACAAAATCATATTTCTATACTAGGGTAAAAGTCAGCTATATTGAAAATGTCAAGTGCTCTGCGGCACGTGTCAATTTTAATCGATTTCGTTAAAATTTTACACAATTTTTTGTATGGCCTGATTACGTTTTAGGCCGAAAATGGCAAAAAAGGCTTTTTAAAAATAAGCCCTACCTCAATGCGATTTATGTGGTTTTAAGTTTACTATCAAGGTTACAAAAACTGGACCTTTGAGCCTTTGTTCGGAATTTGGGTAAAATAAACCTTAAAATGGATTCAGTGCAAGTTTACTACGAAATAATACTATGTTAAAAATATTATAACATTTAAGGCTATGGCTTCAAAGAAGTGGTGAGTCTTTGTGATTAACTAACCTAACCCAACCATCACTGCAAAGAGACAGCATCTAGCATTTTTGTTTGTTTTCACAAAGCTATACTTTTTAATTTTTTTAATAAAAAATAATTTTTTCATCCTGCGTTTTCCATTATCGTTTACATCCCTAGACCATTTTTTCCGCCACATTTCGATTTGAAGAAATCGCTAAACTGCATATTTAATGTCGATGGAATTGACGCGCTCTGATTGGTTTAATAAAACATTCTTAATTTTAAAAATTGGTAATTTTTTTAGGTATATATAGAAAAAGGTTTTCCGGTCACCCTGGCATACCCTGTATACATATTTATGTTGATTTTGCAATTTTTCTTGATTTTACACTAATTTAGTTGATTAATTTATTTTATGAAAATGTAATATTGAATAAAATTAACAGAACTTGGTACACTAACATTTCTCCATAACAAGTACCTACCTATTGTTTATCATAAAAAGTAAGAATTACAAATCAAAAAAGTTATTTACAATACCAGTGTTAAAAGTGCAATTTGATTTTATGGACAGGGACGATTTTAAAAAACATAAAAATTTATAAATGGTTTTAATATTTGCTTGTAATTTTGATAGAAATTTCTAACAGGTTACTTACCACGTCCATGGGTATTTTAAACTGGCACAAAGTTAGGCAACCATTGCGCATCATTGTATCGTCATCTCTGTGTAAACTCATCCCGTTGAGTAACGTTGTGATGATGCGTCGCTTCACTTTTACTACGTCATGAAGTTCTTTCCCTGTACCTTTTACTATATAAAATAGTGTTGCACTAAAAATAATCAAGAATTAATTTACTACTACTTTTAAAATATCCTAGAATATTCTAAATTTTACTATTTAATGCACATTTTACATAATTTACATAAATTTGTAACTAACTCATAAATTATGATTCATAATATTAACATTACCCCATGTCCGTAATTTAGGCTTTTAACTGGGGTGGCAAGGCGTACCGGGGGTCTGGGGAGTATGAAACTAACTGAAGCTAACAAGGACACTACAAGGAAATTTTATTTTCTAATTGTTTGTAAATTTTTGATACCCGGAATTCGAAATTTCCGGGCGCAACCCGGAGTATTGGTAACCATAATCAGACATCTGTTTATGGCAGGCCTGGCCAACCCAAATGGTTTGATGACGCGTTACGTTAAAGCGGCCGCACTTTAGGTGGGTCGTCCATAAATCTCGTGACGCAGGAAGGGGGGAGGGAGGTACTGCAGGACCGTCACGATTGGTCACGCCCGAGTGGTGGATGGTTTTTTAAAACGTCACGTGGCAAAGTAAATCCAATGAAATTAATTTTGGTTCCATTCCTTGCAAGCTATTTTTTGCTAATTTTGCCGAATACTTTCCTCCATATCAAAAAGGGCCCTTTTGACATTTGGATGCGGAACGCAAAATAAACATTGCAATATTCATTATATTATATTCATTATTTTTAAAAATACTCCCTGTCCAGCCCAAAAATTATTAAATTTAACCCAACTTTTATACTAAAAAAATTGTTTTCTTGATCTTCCTTCTTTATTATACTTTTAAAGGCGTTTGGCTTCTACAAAACCAAAATGTTTCGACATTTTCTGGAGTAATTGTAATTTTCTCCAAGGGTTAAAGTCTTTCTAATATGGGACTTAAAAGAATCTTCATGCCGGAATCATTAAATATTGAAAAGGTCAAGAATTGTAAAATACATATGTGTACATTAGATGCAAAACTCGGTTTTTGCACATTTAAAAAAAATATATTATTTATCTTATTTATGTTCATAACTGCACTGCCCACAGCATACCTAAGTAAACCAGATGCATAAGTTAATATTTGTAGAATAAAATACATTTATAAACTTACCGCAGCTGCAAAACTGGGTATTTGTTTCTTCCTGTCGGATGCAAAACTCGGTATTTGAACACCAATCACGTCGCTAGTATACGCATTAACTGACGGCATAACAATCACCTGATTAATTGTTATTTTTTTGGTATTTGCACTTTTCACTTGCAAAACTTGGTCTTTGAACGAGGAAGATGCAAAACTATGTTTTTAAATCTTTTGATTTCAATTATTTACTAAACTACTTAATTTTAAAGGACTTTTTTTTACTTTTTTGAATAAGAAATTATGCAAAAGCACGTCTATACGATTTTTGTATTTTTTTTTCAAATATGACCTTATGAGCGGTTTTTCGTGTTTTTCTTAAAATCACTTATCCTGCAAATACAGAGTTGTGCATCTAATGTACTCATATGTCAAATACAGTAACACAAAATTAAATCGCATATGGAAAATTCAATTTTAAACACAAAATCAAGAATATAAATTTTTTGTAATTCTGCTTTTTAAAGTTATTTAAGTGAAAATATCAAATTATTTAATTAAAACTTTTAAAATAAAAAAAAGGCATATAACACAAATTACCATTTACCATTAAGTAATTGTTTGAATGTGTCAAATTGAGTTTTGGTTTATAAGTGGATGGTAAATTATGTAACAAAATTTAAAACAACCTAATTTTAAACATTTTATTAATTTTAAATTTATTATATATATTTCTATTATATCATGGTTTCGCAAGAGGGATACATATACCGTATATGTATTACTCTTGCGAAACCAGGATATCCCTTAATAAAAGTATCGTAATATATTAATTAATTAATTAATTGACCACAAAATCTGATGTTTATTTTGGATTTTATAAATTTAATTTTTGGGTGTATATAATAAGTATTAAATTTGCAATTCAAAATTTAAAAAAAAAGGCGATACTGGTGAGTAAATTAAATAAATTTGGGGTGTAGCAGGGGGAACCCAACTGTATTATATAATTATAATAATTATACAGTGACCAGCAGAAGTATGAAATAAATTCATTAAAAAATTTCCTGTAATTTTTCAAAAAAAAAAAAATCCTTGAACACGTCGATTTTATTTTTCAATTACGCACATTTTGATGTAACATTTTTATATTTGGCGCCATTTTTGTAGAAGCTATGACGTCATTGGCCATTATTTTGAATTGTACCCCCAACTTTTTTTTGCAGATTCGAATAGAGTATGAAATTCTGGTTTTAGCAATATGCACATGTATACCTTGTGGGCTGATAGTTTCGGAGATATTAATTTTTTAAAGTGAACAATTTATAGTTTTTTAGTGATTTTTTGACGAAATTTTTTTTTTATTTAAAAAAGTACATCCTAAATATCACAGTAGCGATAATATCGGATAAGTATAAATATAATAAATAAGTATGTATAATATTGGATTTATATGATAAATAATAAATAAGTAAATATATTAAGTAGATATTCTTTGGTGCAAAATAAAAGTCTTCAAGTTGGTTTTGAAAGTCGTCTCGGGTAGGTTTTTTATATTCTCTGGTAATTTGTTGTATAGTTTGTACCCTTGATGTTTTATTTTTATTTCTCCATATTTTGTTTTGGCTCTTTCTATGTCTATTTGTTCACGTCCTCTTGTATTATGTTCATGTGTGTCCGCTCTTTTTCTAAATGTTACTTCTTCATCCAGTATCTTATTTGTTATGATCTTGTGCACTAATTTATGGGTTTCTAGTTGTCTAAGCTCTTCGATATTTAGCTGTTTGGTGATCTTATAAAGTTGTTCAGTAGGCATGTATTTGTCCATTTTGTGCATAATCTTTAATATTTTATTTTGATTTCGCTGCAACGATTTTTTAGCGGTTTCGTTTGCTGTTGCCCAAAAAGGTATGAGGTATGCCAATTGACTCTTAATATAGGAATCATAGACTAAGATTCTTTGTTTAAGAGGAAGAGTGTTTGCTATTTTGTTCATTAGGTATATGTATGAAGAGAGAGATTCATTTAGTTTATGTATGTGTTGCTTCCAGTTTAGTTTATTGTCAATGTGTAGTCCCAGGTATTTGATTGTTTTAACTTCCTTTAGTGGCTCCTTGATTTTGATGTTAATTTGATGTTCTCTTGTTCTGGATTCAAAGTTTATAAAGTGACATTTTTTATGATTTAGGGTTAGTTGATTAGAATTGGTCCATTTTTTTAGTGTATTTAAGTCTTGTTTAATTTTACTTTCTGTGTCTTTGTTGTTTTCGTTCTTGTAAAAAATTGCCAAGTCATCTGCATACATAAGCATTTTACCATGTATTTTATATAGGCTAAGATCATTAATGTAAAGTAAGTACATGTAGGGTCCCAGAATTGACCCCTGAGGAACACCATATTTGATTTCCTCTATTGTGCTGCATTGGTCCCCTACCACTGTAAACTGGCGTCGATTTGTTAGATATGATTGGAACATGTTTAGAGAATTTCCAGTTACTCCCATATTTTTCATTTTTGAAATTAATAAGTCAAGGTTCACTGTGTCAAATGCCTTTTTGTAATCTAGTACTAAACCAGTTACCGTTAGTTTGTTGTCAAGTTGTGTTAGAATGTAGTTCATTAAGTTGCTTTTTGCTGTTGTTGTTCCTTTATGTGTTTGAAATCCGTGTTGGCTAGCTGTTAGAATATCTGTATTATGTATGTGTTCTGATAACCTTTTATGTAGTACTTTTTCAAAAATCTTGCTGAATACTGTTAGATTTGCAATTGGTCTATAATTTCCAGGTTCAGTTTTGTCTGCTGACTTGTATATCGGTGTGATTCTTGCTATAAAAAAGTTTTTATCGCTAAAATGTTTATAAAATCTATTTAAATACTTTATTTAAGGTATAAACTTTTTCAGTGGTACTTGTTTTTTTATTATTTTTTTTTGTTCTACAAACCAGGTGTCGATATATTTCTTTGTTGGTGTGTGATTTTAAACAAAAATTGGCTACTACAAACTTTTAGTCGAGTGTTCAGCGGTTTTTAAATCTTTCCAAGTATGGCCCATTTGACAGAAACACAGCGAATTGAAGTTTTAATTCTCGTAGGATGTGGCAATAAAACTAGAACGCAACAATTGTTAAGAAGCATGCGATTTGTTTAATGCAAAGTATCCAGCTCGACCTATTACTCGTTCTACTTTTAGTAAAATTGAACAGAAATTTAGAGACTGGACATGTCTAAGATATTCCAAAACCTGGCCGTCCGAAAATTAGTAAAGACGCAAAAATTGACATTTTGTTACGTGCAGAAGAAGATCCTCACAGTGCTTCTAGCCTAGTCGCAGCTGAAAGTCAGTCAACGCTCAGTATTACGTCCGAGAAGAAAAGAAAAGTACCATCCATACAAAATTAGACTCGTGCAGGAACTTAACGAAGATGATCCGGACCGTAGACTACAATTTTGTGAAACTATGATGAATGTATGTCACAATAATCAACACTTTCCTCGTAAAATACTATTTCCGGACGAAGCTACCTTCTGCTTAAATGGAACAGTTAACCGACAAAATTGTAGGTACTGCAGTATACTGGTGCAGAAAAAATCCTCATTGGATGCTAAAGGCACATTCTTAATTTCCGCATAAAATGTATGTCTGGGCAGGAATAGTGGAAAATCGGATCATAGGTCCTTTCTTTTTTGACGAGAATCTGACAGGACAAAGATATTAGCGGAAATGTTTCCCAACGAGGATAGAGATCCCAATCTTCCAAGTAATACTATTTGGTTTCAGCAGGATGGGGCACCTCCGCGTCCTGTCCGTACTTTTTTGGACACCTGTTTTCCTGAAAGGTGGATTGGAAGACGAGGACCGATAGAGTGGCCCGCGAGATCTCCGAATCTCACCCCAATTTAGAAGACTTGAGAAATGGATAGGCTTGCTTTCTGCCAAGAAACCAACGGGTAGCAATTCGAGCATTTATGTTTATATACACCAAGTTAATCTTAATACTCGCCATTCCAATATTTCATTAAAATTTCGCAACGACTACCATGACCATAACACACGTCATAAGTCTGATGTAAACCTAGAAAGGGTTTTATCAATGAGAGGTAAAGGTTGCATATATCATAATGGTGTCAAAATTTACAATGCGTTGCCTATTGAAATCAGAAACAAACACATTAGGGGTTTTACGTCTGGTTTGAGATGTTTTCTGGAGTCTGACTTGAGATATCCTTTGGAGTCTGAGCTGTAATGGTCACCAGTGTGGTCTATGCTCAGACCGCACTGATGGTTGTTGTTCGGGCTTTGGGGGACGCCTCGGGTTAGACTTCCAAGCTAGGGTGTTTCAACGGGTATTGTCATTTTATTTTATTTTTATTCTCTTTTCCGTCCTTGCATTATCAAACATGTAATGTACCTATCTATAGTATAGAAACTAGCTTAAGCTTTTAAAACATGACGAAATGTGAAATGAATATCTACTACTACTACTTTTATATTTTTATTTTTTATTGTTTGTATATTTTTGTTGTATTGTTGTGAGAGGATGAATCCGTATAGAGTGTTAACGTGCACTCTCTGGATTTTTCAAAATAAACGTATTTTCTTTCTTTCTTTCTTTCTTCATTTAATTGTTTAAAAGGTGTAATTTTTTGAAAATAAATAAAATTAAATCACAAACTTTGAAATCCCAACAGGTATATATGTGCATATTGCTAAAACCAGAATTTTCTGCAAAAAATTGGGGGTGCAATTAAAAAAAATGGCCGATAGCTTCTACAAAAATGGCGCCAAATATAAAAGGTTACATCAAAATGTGCGCAATTGAAAAAGAAAATCGACGTGTTCAAGGATTTTAATACTTTTAACAACGATTTTATGGAACAAACTTGTTTATAAACTAACACAAAGTCTAAATACAAATTTTCAAATAAAAATTTCATATTTAAAATTATTCTTTTTGTAAACGTCAATGTCACGTCAACATCTTATTTAATATCGTATTTATTTAATACAATGTTGTATTGGAAAAGTGTCATCAATATGCTATAGATATTTTCCATTAAAAAAATGTTTTATCTTATGACAGGATATTAACTTTACCAAAACGCATGCGTTTGGCAACATGATGTGCCTACAATTGACTATTCGTGACTGTTATCCTTTTACATCACAGCATAGACAATGATTGACAGTCAAAATTCAAAACTATATTCTGTTAGATATTGACATGTATTCCTTTAGAGTCTAAAGTTTAGGGAGTATTCTAATATGTATCTTGTGTTTTAGAATGCTTAGAAAATGCAAGGCCTGCGTGTGTGTGTCAGTGTTAATATTTTCTTTACAGATTTAATCTATGGATTTATTAGTTCCTGACAGTGACGGGAGTATTTCCTTCTGTCTAGTATGACGTAAACTTTATCTTAAAGTAACAATTTTGGCCAATTTAATATTTTTTGTTGTCATGATGATTGAAAATTAAACTACAACTTTATTATCAGCCAATGTTGCCATGCGACTTTTGAGACACCCTGTAAATTCATATTTTACTAAATAAGAAAATCAGAGTGAAAAGTAGCAAATAGGAAGGCAAGTTTACACAATGTGGATTAAATTTATATCTGGGTGTTTTAATCAAATTAGTTACATTTGGATAGCCAAGCAATCCCCCCAATTTTTGACATTGTTAATTAAAAAAAAACAAATTTTATACAAAAATTAATATAAACAATCTATGTACAGCTATGCTAAAAACCATTACAACCCTTAAAACTTAATTTCTCACCTTCCAGATATTTGAATATGTCTTTCATGCATATGCCTTCCCATTGCTTCCAGCACAATGTTGAGGGTCTGGCCCACATATTCACAGCTATCAAAACGAAAAACATGAAATAACTCATTTAGAATTTTTTGTAACATTTCAGGTCTATCTAAGAATGCCAATGCAGCTATTAGTATTTGTTCTTCATTAGCATTACCAGCAATCTAAAAGCAAAAACAGTTATTTTACCAAAATACATATATATTAGTGATAAACAGCGATATTTGAACTAACAAATATTAAAAGTTGCGATCGCGTCAGCGCTTTAAAAATCGCTGTTATTTATTAAATAACAGCGATTTTGGAGCCATTTACCAGTATAAAAAATCGCTGTTTCCTATAGTCGCTGTTATTTGATCTATAAGGAAACCATTGCTGCTATTTTTGAACAGCTATTAAATTACTTTGGCAATATTTTACTCATCACTAATATATACAGAAATGATGAGGAAAAAACTTGTGGGAAACACACATAATTTAGCAAAGTGTTCCCAAGTTACAAGTAACAGTTTTATGAAATATTAAAATTTATTTTGATCTTGTAAGCAATAGACAAGAATGTAAACAAGTTATACAAAACAATATTTGATTGTAGGTAACTTATTTTTTAATTTAAATAATATAGGTTAACCTTAGACCATATACTTATATGAGCCCCTAGAAGCCAAGGGGTACAATTACATTTTGTTTAGTTAAAATCCTCTGTTGTAATTTGTTTTTCAAGCTTAGAACGTTAACCAGGGTTATATCCTAGCTAGGGGGGCTAGTATTTTTGACTATATACAATGAATGGTCGCAAATGTTATGATAACGACAGGAAAAATTAGTTACAGACTTTTCTAGGGTAAAATAAAGGTAAAAAATTACTAAATTTTTCACTTTCAATTGCTTTACTTTTTTGTTGTAGGGTGGAAAACGTAGGTTATAGACCCTTCATAAGGGTCTATACGTGGGGGTTCATCCGGATTTTGTCTTGTGCGGGAAAACTGAGTATAGCAATTATATAATATTAGAAGCGGACCCGACAAACGTTGTTCTGCCCGAACGTTGGCTAGAACCCAAATGGAGCGCCACCTACCGGATCCAATTGTGAATCTAAACCATTCAGGAGCCCACACACAAAAAAATTCATCAAAATCTGTCCATTGGTTTAGAAGGAGTTTAGTGCATCAACACATAGGTACATGAAGAAATATAATATAATTATGTAATATATTATATAAAAAGATATTTTATACTGTATAATGATTATATACGTCACGATTTCTTACGATATCAGGTGCACATCCAAACTTGTGTAATACTATTATATATAATAATAATTTGTAATTTTTGCTCAATAAATTTATTATTATTTATATTTATTAAGATGTCACATCTTTGCATGTTACAATTAATCTTCTAAGCATTTAATATATTCAAAAAAGCCTACCATAAATTTGTTTTAAAGAAATTTTAAGTAATTGTGAATAATGAAGGCATTAGGGCGCATTTTAGGGTATTTAGCCTAGATAATATCTATGGTATTTAGGCTTCACAATCTTAAAATAGGCTACTATAAATTCATTTAAAAGAAATTTCATGTAATTGTAGATAATTTGGGAATTTGTGCGCATTTGTATTTAGCCTAGATAATATCTATGGTATTTAGGCTTTACAATCTTAAAATAGGCTACTAAAAATTCATTTAAAAGAAATTGTATGTAATTGTAGATAATTTGGGAACTAGGGCGCATTAAGGGTATTTTTGATTGTATTTAGGGTAATGTGGGGTAAAATTATTAAAAATCTCGTGTAAATGCTTACAACACTAGTGGCAACACTAGTTACAGAATGACTGTAATTTTTTTCCTTAAAATTAAAATTTTGCTGCATTTCATGATTTAATTTTTCAATGGTCCCGCTTAAGTTATGTTCGACAGGCGCCACTCATAACCATGGTTATGAGTGGCGCCTGTCGAACATAACTTAAGCGGGACCATTGAAAAATTAAATCATGAAATGCAGCAAAATTTTAATTTTAAGGAAAAAAATTACAGTCATTCTGTAACTAGTGTTGCCACTAGTGTTGTAAGCATTTACACGAGATTTTTAATAATTTTACCCCACATTACCCTATAAACTGTGACTTGCATTTCCTCACAAAAGAAAAGTACTTTGTTGCAAAATGTCCGCAGACATACTTTTTTTAATGAACAAGAAAATAGCAAAATCTCAAAAAGAAAAGGAGAAGTCAGAACATACACCTAAATGAAAACTATTACAATTTGGAAATAAAGGTATCTTAAAAAGTCCTAAAATAAAATTGTAATTAAGGAAAACTTTTAAAATGAAAAAGGAATTTCAAATTAATATATTCATGCACTCATTCAAATTTTTAAAATGTTAAATGGAACTTCCAAGGGTTTTGAAAAATTAGGAGACTCTAAAAATATGGGGGGCTCTCAAAATTTGTAAGTCCTAGTTAGCCCCACCTTGATTACAGGCTTGAGTTATAACCCTTGGCTACTAAGTAAAATAAACCTTTTGCTATATATTCCTGTACTTAACTCCATTATTTTTAAAATGTCACTGGTCTCCATTGGCTTTTAGGGGCTTCATATGGTCCTATTGGAAAAAAATAAGTTTTTTGACCAATTCCAAAATACACTTAATTACCAATTTGGCTGGAATATCATATCTCAAACAAGCATCATGTGATGTTTCGTACAACCCTAAATATTGAAAAGGATTGGTAACTCTTGAACTCAACCCAGGTATATCAGATGCATAAGATCCATTGCTATGTTCAGCGACTCCTGTTCCTGCCAAATTTGTTCCAGATATATCTAGAGATGTTAAACGAGGCAGGCTTTCCACAATTGTAGTCAATATTTCGTTTCCTTTATTATATTTACCCCTGTCTTCCTTTGAAGTTGATATATCTAAATGCCTTAACAATTTTAATTTACAGATAGCAGTAATTTTGCACTCTATATTATCCACATTGTATAAAATAAGGGATGTTAAATTTGTTAAATGTTCTGTATAATCAAAATTTTGTAAATGGCTACAGTTGGATAGATCTAGATGTGTTAAATTCATTAGTTGATTTAGTAACAACATATAAAAATCTGATTGCAGTTCTTGTAATCCTCTGAGGGATAATTTTTTCAATGCAGGTGCTAAAAATATAAATCCCTTATCATAATGTTCCTCTGTAAATTTTAGGTGACCATAAATGTTTTTGGGGAAAATATTTGTATCTTCAATGATAAGAGAATTCAGGCTAGTTCCGTATTCAGTTAACAATTTCACACATTTTGATGTTAGATCAGGACTATGTGATATTTCCAACTCAAGTAATCTATGTTTTAGTAAAACCTCCAAGTCTTCATTACCTATTTGCGTTTTTCTTAACTTAACTCTTTTTAATCTTGTACAAGTTGTATCACTAAATATATTAATAAACTTTGAATTAATGTGATTTAAACTATTGGACCTAACACTTAAAAGTCGTTCGCTAATCTCAACCGGCAGGGCAACCCCTTCCCTTAGTTGTAAATTTCCAAATTGGTTGGCCACACATATCGTATCCAAGTGATTGTTAATATAGTCGAAACACACATCCAACAAACTTTCAGGTGTTGAATTGCAAAATGAGCAAGAATCCAATGGCAATGCTATTGAATGACGGCATTTACTTTGCAGCATCTTAAAAAAGTGCGAAATAAATATTATTCCTACAGCATATTCACCTACATACCTTTAAAAAACAATAACACTTTTGTGATAGTATTCACATGACAAACCAGTGACTAATCATGATAAACGAATTGTGATCATAATTGTAAACTTGATCAAATAACTGTGTCCTAAATATTTGTTATTGAGTAATTTTTGACAAATCTTGAGAAGACCCACAATTCCCTGTTTATGTACTACTATACTACACATTCTAAAAACATTCATACAAAAAATTAAAAATAAAAATCAAATTAAACCGCTATTTATATTATTTTTACATTTATATGATTAACTTAATAAAATTTTAATGTTTTGATTAAAAATCCTCGATTTATTCTATTTAAAAATAAAATAAAAACATTGAATTATTTGCAGGTTAGTTAGTATCAAATGTCAAAATATGGCATACAGGGCAAGGTGATCAAATTATTTATATAAATTTTTTTTCGAAAAAAATAAATAACATTTTCTCCTCAGGTTAAAGGAATTCGATGACATTTTGAATCAAGATGTTATAGATTTGAATTCCCTCAGAAAACTATCCTTTCAAGGTAAAGGGGTGGCAAATTTGTATCTGTAATTTTACCTTGGTATTTTTAGGGATTCCTGATGACCAAGGAAAAAGGGCAAAATGTTGGAGGCTCTTACTAAATTATTTACCCTTAGAAAAAGAAAAATGGGACACACAGTTGGAGAAAAAAAGAGCCTTATACAAGCAATTTATAGGTAAATATTCTAAATATCACATTTTTATAATTTTTAACAAGTTGCCCACAATTGTGTGGATTGTGGGGTTACCTAATTAGGTAAAATATCTAATTAGGCATAGTAAAGATATAATTAGCCATAGAAAAACCTATGGAAATAATTCCATAGGTTTTTCTTTTCCTAATCATATATTTTGGTAAGTTGGTTTTAAGTATACTTAACCTATTTGTTTAATTTTATATAGCCCTAAACTTTAAATTTATAGTTTTTTTTCTTAAAAATGTAAATTATCTCAAAAATTCCATAATCATTTATCATATCATATTTTAAAATTTTAAAACATTCTAGAGAATAGAGAATTATATCTAATTAAAAATTAGAAAATAACAAGTAAAAATTGGTAAAAAAGTTAATAAGATTTAAAAAAACAAATGACCTGTAAAACATGTTTGGTATAGGTACCTAATTTTATTTGTTTAACGATACCTACATTAAATAATTATTAAAAGTAGATAGTTAGGTTAGATAGATCTGACAGAAGTCGAATTGTTTTATTGGTCCAATAGTATACATCATTTTTAAGTGCCTATGCCATAGACCAATTGAAGATAAATAATAATAATAATACAATTTCTTTATTTCAATTAATGTCTCTATACAATCAAGTATACTTGTATACAAACAGAGCTGCAACAAGTCATTTTTAAAAAGACTTAAATCTTAAGTCTTAAGTCAATTCTAAGATAAAGTTCAAATGATTTAAGTATTAAGTCTTTGAATTAAATCATTTTCTTTCAAGTCAAGTCATTTTCGCAAATTCTTAAATCAAATTAAAATGATTTAAATCATCTTATGACTTGATTCCTTTAGTAAGTCGTTTTTATGACTTAAGTCTATATTTTTTATTTAAATCGTGATCTCAGAGTTAAGTCAATAAAATGACTTGAATCAAAAATTGTGATTTAAATCAAAATAATTACCCTTAACTCAATACAACGATTTTTTAATGTTAATAATAATTTTATGGTATTAATGATACTGATATTATTAATCTATTGTAGATTCAGATGATAATAAACCACTATGTTAAGAATTTAAAACGATTTATTTTCAGAACACTTGAGTACAAATAAAATAAAAACTTAAAACACATTTTTTGAGTATATAGTAGACAATAAAAATAAAAACTTAAACCACCTTTTTTAGTAGAGTAGACATACAGGGAAGCTACTTTTTTATATAGGTAAATGGGTAACTTCTAAACGGTAATAGATTCAAACTGTTAATTTAACATTACTCCCTTAAGGGAGAAATATTTTTTTCTAGATGGATGTTGAACCAGCTAACAAAAGTTAACAAAACAACAAGTTATCAGTTTTTGAAATACAGCGATTTTAAGAAAAATGCTTCAACTTTTATCTATGTTGGCAAACAAAATAGCAAAATTATAAATCCCCACTTTTTTTAATTCATTTTAGACAGGACATTTTTTAATGTAGCCGTCAAACGGTTCCCAATAGCTAATTTTGCCGCGGCGGTTTTTTTATCCACTAGCGGTAGCAATTTTAGGTAGGAAATTAAAGGAGTTTTTGATCTGCTGCCGCGTGAACACCTGGCAGTTCAAGAAAATGCCGCTGTAAAAAATTTATAAAAAATCTATGAAAAATCTGACTTAAATATTTTCTAAAAAGACTTAAATCTTTTTCAAAAAGACTTAAATCTTTTTTGACTTAAATCGTTTTTATCTGACTTAAATCGTATGTACTGATTTAAGCCTTTTATTAATGACTTAAGTTTTTTCTATTTTGAAAAAAATATTTAAGTCACAAATCATTTTAAAAATTACTTAAATTTTAAGTCTTAAGTCAGTTTTAGAGAATTGACTTATTACCAAATGACTTAAGTCATTAAAACGATTTAAATCAAAAAAACGATTTAAGTTTTCTGATAGCTTGCAGCTCTGTATACAAAGAACAAAAAATGAAATGACGTCACAAAAAAATAAATAAATAAAACGTATATGTATTATACCTATAGGTGCACCATGGTATATGCTTAGATTAACAATAATCCTATTTAAAATGTATAACTTAAAAAAAATAACATATAAACTGGAAGGATCTTGTAATAATATTGTAATACTAAAAAAATAATAATCAACCCAGCTTGACCTGAAACTTTTTTTTTACTTTTTTTTTAAATATATATTATGAGATAAATATCTTTTATTATTATCAATATTTTAAGAGTAAAGTAGGTTTTACCTTTCAAAAGAATATCCTACAAACGTTGAGTCTTAATCGTTGCTGAAAATTTCAATAACCTTTGAAACAAAAGTAGGTATACTAAATAAACCTGTTATTTAGAGGAAATGGTAGTGATGCCAGGTGAAAAAGAGAGCAATGGAGATGTAACTATGGGCGATCATCCCCTTAGTATCAACCCTGAAAGTGAATGGTCAACATTTTTTAAAGATAATGAAGTTTTACTTCAAATCGATAAGGATGTTAGAAGATTGTGTCCTGACATATCATTTTTTCAACAACCAACTGAATTTCCTTGCTTAGAAATTGTCAATAGTAATGATATTAAGAGACTTCATACCAGGGTACAGAGAAGAGTATTAAATTGTGCAAATGTTGAACGGAAAGGCTTAGGAATTACCAAGGTAAGGTTTGAAAATGTTAAATTAATATTTCCTATATGTATTAAAATAATTAATTAACTTAATTTTTTGTATTACATGCTGATTTAAAACTACAGCAGGTAAATTATGTAAAATAAATAATAGATACCTAGTCAATGTGTAATGTTTGAAATTTGTATTGTTGAAATAAACTGCTCCACAAGAGTTAGGGATATTGGTGATTCTTGCAAAATATCCAATAACGGTAAATTATTTTATGGAAAATAAAACGTTTAGTTTACAAAAATATCAAAAACTATATTTTTTGCATTAAAAATAAAAATAAAAGCAAAAAACTCTTAAAAAATAAAAAATTCTCAAAAAATAAAGAAATATGTTTTTCCAAAACAATATGTTAATACATTGTATAGTAGGGTGAGCCAAAAAAACTAATCTATCGGATTTATGGGTTAAAATGAACCTACATACTGAGCAAAAAATTTCCCTGCAAGGAAAAATTTTTTGCTCAATTTTAAAAGGTGTCGGTGAGCATTCTAAGTTTTCCATTGAAATAACACGTAAAAAAATCTTTTTTCATTAAAAAGACTACAACTTTTGAACCGTTTGAGATAAAAATTTTTACGTCGCGGATTCTTGTAGAGCATAAAATTTCCCAAAGAATCTATACTAGGATTATTTTTTTTAATTCAAAAATTCGTATGTTTGAAAGCTTTGAAAAGTGTAAAAAATCACTAAAACTGCAGTATATTATACAATATCCTTAACTCTTGTGGAGCAGTTTATATTGTAACTTTTTAATACATTTTATTTAGCATGTACCAAACAGCATGCTTCTTACAGTTAGTCTAGGCCAGGGGTTCCTAAACTTATTCAATGGCTGGCGCCTTTAGGTTTGATTTATTTTCTCGGCGCCCTTACTAATTGTATTCGACAAAAAAAAACCGAAAATATAACAAAAATTAAAAACGTTTGTTTTCCTAATTAGAGAGTAAAGAGGGGTGGCTCGCGGCGCCTCTAGTTTCCCTCCACAGCGCTCCACGGCGAACATCTGGCCTAGACAAAAGCTGTCTAGGGTTATTAGGACTGTTTTTAGGTTTTTTGACATTTTGACACATAGGATTACTTTTCTAGGTTACCTATGTAACATAGCTAACCTAGATTGTCAAAATATTTGATTTTGGTCTATATGAGGGAGGTTCTATAAATTTTGTATGAAAGGTTAAGGGTAATAATACATTTTGGTTTTAAATATAATTTTTAGATTGCCTTAAGTGTAAAGAAAGCATGCGAAGACTACGCACCAATGGCTGAAGGTAAAGAAGCCCATTGGGAGGTGGTGGAACGGATATTGTTTTTATATGCTAAATTAAATCCAGGTCAAGGATATGTACAGGGTATGAACGAAATTATTGGGCCCATTTACCATGCATTTGCGTCTGATCCAGATATTTTATTTAGAGGTAAATATTATGAAATTAACTTTAAATATTTTGAATTTTTTAATTAAACCTTACTTCTACTAGGAGTTAAGTCTGATTGGATCAAGGTTGGCTAAAAACTGCTTTTTGATGTTTTAAGCGGTTAAACCGGCTAAAACGGCAAATTTTAATTTATGGATTTTTGCGGTGTTAATCCCAAACTAGTTCGGACATCCTCAAACATGTACTTGAAATGCGCATTTTATATTTTGAACGCCAAATTTTAAAATATGTATTTTTGAGTATAAGTATAAGACGTTTAAACGGCCCCATTGCCTCATCGCTCCCGGGCCCCGCACAGGCCTCTTTTACCTTACACCGATTTTCTATTCGCCACCAGCAACGGCACGGCTTCACCCGTGTTTGCTGGTTGCGAATGTCCATTGCGTCCCGTAGGTACTGTCCCCTATTTAGGGCTAGAGAGCGAAATGCCAATAGTTTAAATAGCCATTCCCGGATTCGCCGGGCCGTTGCTATACGCCCAGTAGGGTCATGAAGGAGGTAGGACCGGGAGGGATAGACATTTTGGTGTTTGGGGGACAATTACGCCGACTCAAATCTAAGTACGACGCGGTATCCCCCTAGACCAGGCAGTTAGTATTACTCCAAACATTTGGGATTACTGTTTGAGTTGGGGAGTTGTTATTTTGCTGCAGGGGCCGATTTGCTAGTTGTTTCTGCACTTGGTATTAATTCAGTTGTTTTTCTTATCTTATTCTTGTTGGTGCTTAGTTGCTCCCAACTGTTCTTGTTAATTTGTGAGAAATGAATATTCTGTGCTAACGTGTCGTGAAACGTGAAGCATGGCCTCCCGACTTTTTTTCCGGTTCCTACGGGTGACGTGGGACCAGAATTTTAGTTAGGCCACCCTTTCCCGTTTGGTAATGCGATTAGGCAGTTACCGGTGGGGGGTATTTTTTGACTTTTAGTCTATATTCTAACGTGTTTACGAAATCCATTAGAATTCGGTTTAAGTGCTTTTTGTACGTGTCAAATGGTTATTTGGTCTCGTTGAGTTTAAATTTTATTTTGTTGGGGCCGTTCTCTTAAATTAATGGGTTAAGTGCCTTACGCGTTTGTTGACAGATGTATTGTCCTACTGAGCTTTCGTGTGAATGACCGCGGAGGATGGGGCGGCATTGTTTTGGTTTGTTATTTTTTGGTGTTTGCTCACTATTGTCTTACTAATGTTACTATTGCTACTGATGCATCCTGTTTATTTTTTGTTTTTTAGAGTTTAACTTAGGGTTTTAAAGGCAACTGATGTTGCAAACTATGTGTTATGTCATGCAGATGGTCAAAGTAACTTATCAGATTTTGCAGATGGCCCCTTCCTCCCTTGGTTGTCCTCTTTTGTTTGTCGCGTGAAAGGCGTCCAATTGACAGGTTGTAAGACCGCCCGGAAGCTGTTACTTATCACTTACCACTTTCTTGACCGTAGGGTAGTCTCTATTCAATGTAGTTGTTACACTATATTTTATTTGCACCCTATGAGCAATTTCTTGTGGGTTCTGGCTTTTATGTTTTAAGAGGTCGCGCTGCGATACGGTAAATTTTCAAATATTATGTAAAAATAATATTATATTATGCATTCTAATGAATATACAAAAGTTAAACCAAATCTTAAGAATACGATAGCAAAACACCTAATAACATTCTATTGGTAACAATTTGAACAATATAAGTTAATTATAGAAATAAAACTGATACATTGCCAGTAATAATAATAATAATAATAATAATCTTTATTGATTTCCCAACAGGCTATCGACCGTGGTCTTTCTGCCCAATTTTACAAAAAAAATTTATAAATATAATAATTGTTAATTGTACTTACAATATTGAATTTATATAAAAAAAGTAATAAAAACATATAAATCTCAAATATTTTAGTCTTTGTTAGTGATGTCTGTGATTATCTCCCATAGAGTTTGTGTAGGATATTTCCTTTTGGGGGGCAGGTTATGGTCTCTACTGTGCATTAAGTTTTCCATAATTTGTATGTTGTTGTGTTTTTTTGCAAATTGGCATGCCAGCTCCTTGAAACGTTCCAAAATGGGGGTGACCTTTGTTATTTCGTATAGCAGTTGATTTGATGGATTATCTGGGTGTCTCATTTTGGGGATTATTCTCAAACTACTCCGTTCAGCCACTTCTAGCTTACCTACAGTAGTTTTTTTGCAATTTAGGTAGATTAGGAAGGCATATTCAATAATGGGCCTGCATATCATTTTATAGATTTTAATCGCAGTTTCAGGTTGTATACCATTATTTTTGTATGTCAGGCTTCTGAAATGTTTGGCTCTTGTAATCATCTTGGTTTTTATTAATTTGGCATGAAAATTGAAATTGAGTTTGCTATCTAAATGTATTCCAAGGTATTTGCATGCATTAGATGGTCTTATTTGTTGATTAAAAATTTGTATAGAGGTGGAATTTATATTTATTTTGTGATTGAATATTATTAGTTGAGTTTTATTGGGATTTGGTTTTATTCTCCACTTGGAAAAAAACTGGATTATATTATTGCAGAGATTTTGTAAGTGAAGCAAAGTGAGTTTTAAATTTTTCTGGTGTGCAATTAAAGCTTTATCATCTGCGAATTCTAGAATATATGTGTTAGGATTAAATTGTTGAGAATAAATGTCATATGTGAATAGGTTGTATAGAATGGAGGATAAAGGAGAGCCTTGCAGGACACCTTGTTGCATAGAAAATGATTTAGATAAGTTTTGATTGTGTTTAACTAGACTAAGTCTATTTTTTAGAAAGTTATTTATAAAGTGAATTAGATATTTTGGACAATTTAAGCTGTGTAATTTGTATAATAGGCCGGCATGCCACACACTATCGAATGCTTTACTAATTTCCATGAAGAGAGCTGCTGATTTGTTGCCTTTTAGATTGTTTGTTTGAACATTCGAAGTTAGAATAAGCAGTGGATGGATTGTGGAAGAATTTTTTCTAAAGCCAAATTGATGGGGTGGAATCTTGTCGTCTAGTTCTTCTTCTAGTCTTGTTTTAATGATTTTTTCCAATGACTGGTAGTAAAGTAATTGCTAGTATAATAACAATAAAATTGATAATCTGTTATTAATTTCAGTTTTGGCCGGGTTAAACTAAATTCCGCACCCCGGTAACGTGAACGGGAATCTGAACAGTAAAGGTGCGAAAGACTAAGCAACCACTGTTAATTAAGTGTTTGCTCAGTCTCTCCCAAATTTACCGTTCAGGTTCCCGTTCCTTTTCTCGTTACAGGGCTATTATACCATAAGCCGATCTTTTCTTATTATTAATCAAATCAAATTTCATTATTCCTAAAAATCTTATAAGTAAGTTTTGCATAATGGCCGCAAACCTAATTTAACTGATCTTGTAGCTATAGCTATATTATAATAAAAAAGATACCCATACATAGAAGGATACTTGGTGCACCCTGTATATATTTTTTGTGTTCTAAATTAAGACCTTTATACACAAAAAATACATAATATTATATTATATTATTGCATTATTTTTAAAAAATACGAGTAAATTAGTTTGGCACTGACAGAAAATTCACCTTAATTATTTATATAAAGTCACGTAGTGGGACTAACATGTCAACATTTTTTGGTTTTAGCCACGCCATTTTTGCCGTAACTATTTCTCCAGTCTTAATAAATATTCGTTAAAAACTTGTCCATATTAATTTGTTATTCATATTCACAAGTCGGTCACAGTATAACCACTTGTTAACAATTGTTTATTACGAATAAACACAAATTTAACTTGGAACAATAAAAATAAAAGCTTCATACATAAGATTTCGATCCATTTATTTAAATAGAGATGGATGCTCACTGCGCCGCACGGCGACTATAGGAAACTATCGATAATTTTTTTTGACGTCCGATTTTGGTACATTTATTTGATATTGGGAAGTCCTATGGATTTCCTGCGGCAGTCGTTTGGCAGCCTATCGGCGTCCAAAATGCTTGTGCTGTTTATACTGGTAAAGACGGAATAATAAAATATACTTTATCATTTTAGAACATGCAGAAAGTGACAGTTTTTTCTGTTTTACAAATTTAATGTCTGAGATCAGGGATTTTTTTATAAAAAGTCTTGATGAAACTGACCATGGCATAAATAAAATGATGAATAGAATGTTAGTACAATTAAAAAACAGTGATATGGATGTTTGGCTCAGATTTCAACAGCTGGAATTGAAGCCACAATATTACAGCTTTAGGTAAAATATTTTTGTAGTTAGAAATATTTTATACTGATAAATTTTAGGTGGATAACATTGCTCTTATCCCAAGAATTTCCATTACCAGATGTTCTTAGAATATGGGATTCTCTATTTTCAGATGAAAGTAGATTTGATTTTTTAATTTATGTTTGCTGTGGTATGATTGTGTAAGTAACCTAATTTTAAACTATATTCATAATTCAACAAAAACTTTAAGGGAATTTGGGACCTAGTATACTGTGTTGATATATCAATGTTTTCCTAGGATTCCAACTGCTTCTAAACCTTAGTTACAAACATTGTTCCAAAATCTCCTTAATCAAACAAGTTGTAAAAGTATATTAAATAATTACCTTATTTTTTGTTTAACTATAACTTGTTATCGAAAAACTTATTGTTTTAGTATTTTACGCAATCAACTATTGTCTGGTGATTTTCCCTCCAACTTAAAATTACTACAGAATTTTCCACCCATGGACGTTCAAGATATCATTTCAAAGGCTGTTGAATTATCCAAACAAAAAATATTTTAAATTAATTTATGCTTCCATGCCATTTATTTTACTATTATTATTCGGTTAAATTGATATCAACTAAATACTCAATTTATAATTATGCTTTAAATGATTTTTTTAATTGCTTTAGCTTTATTTTTCATCCAGTTGTATGTATATTTTGTTATAAACACTAAACGATGTTGTAAACATTGATAGTTAAGGTACAATTTTTTAGACTGGTGCTTAAATATGTAAACTCTAAATCATGAGACTGAATCATTTGTATGTTTGTAAACTAATAACAATTTTTGGGACTTTACTTATTTATAAATAGTCCTATTAAACAGTTTGTTGCAGTTATTCCAATTAGATTTTGTGTATATTCAGTTTTATTCCGTCAATTTTAAGAACAATTTATTTTTAAGATCTCTACAAGTATGCACAAGATTACCCTATATAATTTTAAAACTATTTTCTTGTATTTTTCTTAAATAAATATACTATTATATATATATTTTTAAATTTGTGTTTTAATAAAAATACATTCTAATTTTTGTCCTCTTTATTAAAAAGATCTCTTGCGAAAGTTTGACTGACAAGCAAAGGAAATACCAAGGATGCTTCTGCGTAAATTTTGACCGGAGTTGCGTCTTTTTTAATTTTTCCCCATGATATTGCTTCATCTGGCCTTGCTCCTGCGTCACTCCCGTCGAATTCAGATGCAGTGTTTACAAAAACTGAAAATTCAGCACCATTTCTCTTAAAATAAAATATTAATTAAATTTAAGTTTGAGTAAAAAAAAAAACTATTTTTACCATTAAATTGGCATTACATATATGGTGCTTAACAACTCCACCTCCTAAAATTATCATTCCAGTGTTCACTGCCTTTACTGCCATTGAATTTAGCCTCCTCAAGTCTGAGAAAAAAATTGTTAATATTTATAAATAAGGTGCTAATACAAAAGTTGAAGAAAAATTATATAAAATAATGTCCTAAATTGGATATTTAGTTTTTATTATCAGTTTTTAACATAACTATTGTATACCTAACTATTATAGTAGGTGTTTTCGCGGTGCTAATCCCGAACTAGTTCGGACATCCTAGGCATGCGCATTTTAATATTTGTCATGCGCACTTTACATTTTGAACGCCAAATTTTAAAAAGCGCATGCCTAGGATGTCCGGAATTAGTTCGGGATTAGCTTCGCGAAAATAGCTAATATTATTGTAAAATACCTATAATAGTTGTATGAATTTCTTATCAAATTTAATTCAATTTTGGTATAGCCCTTTCAAACTATTATAATAGATTTTTTTTAAGACTCAACCTCCATTATTGTTAATAAGTTTTAAAATATTTTTTTATAGCGTTTTATAATACTTTTTGAGTTTAAAAATACAAAATTTATATTTATTTAGGGTAAATTGAAAATAAATAAAACGCTATAAAAGCAAGAATCTTGCAAAATCAATGTCTTTTAAGTATTTTTTTAGCTGTTTTCCCAACACATTGCATTAACAGCTATGTAACCTATTAAAAATATTTAAAAAATTGATAAAATGTCAAAAATAAATACTAAATGTAAAAAAAAACACCCTGTTTTTCTCACAATGTTTTTAATATTATTTTACACCAACATTGGATTTAAAATGAAGGTACAAAAAATTTAAATTTTAAGATATAGGAAACAGGACCTAAAAAAGCGCCTTTACATACTATAATAATGTTCAGCTTGTAATATTAGATTTGATTTATTTATTCCTGGGGGCATTGTAACTTTTAAGAAAAATATGCCATGCCACTGCTTTTTATTTGTTCTGATATTTGTTCCAGAAGAAACAATTAGAAATACAACTTCTTTATATCTTTACTGTTTTTTGCATCTCACAATGTTTAAAAAAAAATCTTCACACTCATGAAGCGAGTGAAAAATACACACATGCTTAAAATGTAGTAATATTTAACAATTTAAAATAACAAAAAACATTTTTATCATGTCAATCTTTTAAAAAATGTTTACATAAACTAGTTAATAATAAATAATATTAATACATTTTCTTATTCTCAAGCAAGGAATGTTTTCTTAATTTTGTAATAAGTGATTTAAATCACTTATCAGTAATTACTGCAGCGCTGTGGAAAAATATAAAAAACCTTAATTTACCTGATAAAATATCAAAAACCAATCCAGGATTTCTATAGGAATGCAAAAACGCCATATCTCCAATACTACCATCAGTTAAAGCAGGACAAAACACTGGAATCTGATTTTTGGCTGCCCAATAATAAATACTTTCTTCGTTATCAATTTTTTCGCCCAACCTTGTTATTATTTTACTTGGTGTCCACAATACGCCTTGTTCTTTTTGTTCTTTTAACATGTTATCAAAAATAGGCATAATCCAATTTTCAAAACTACAATAATTATCATTTGGAACAAGCAAATTTCCTATTCGGTTTATGCCCGATTCTCTTAAAGTTTTACCATCTAAACTAAACTTTCCTAGGTAAGTTGGAGCCATGCATTTTATTAGGTCTTCCTCCACACCTCCTGCTGTTGTAACAATACAATCTACCTAAACAAATTTTTGGAATAAAATTTTTTGATTATTTTTTTAATATTTGGAGATTCTATAGAACTATAGTTTTTAAATTATATACAAGTTATTAACAGATAGACAAGCAATAATTTTAATTAATAATATATTTATTTTATGCATCACCCAATTGAGCTCTTGGCGTGAGAACGAAATCATTCCTTGAGTTAATTTGAAATTAAGAGGCGCGGGCATACGCACAGACCATTAAGTGCGATTCATGAACCTTCAGTTAGCGTTGATTATTTTTATTTTTTAGTTTAAAACGGTTCAGAAGGGCCCCCAAAGCTTTCTCATTACAATAAAAAAAATAACTAAAATTTTATTTATGTATGGATATAAATATTTCAGGACCCAGCTTTACCATAAAATATAAACGATGTGGCTCCCGTCCCGAGGCGGGACTTAACTTCGATCCCGACAGACGTCACACACTGTAAATCCGTTTTTATTCCCCGAGCTATTATAATTGGTGTCAAGCTGGATGGCTTAGATGGTAGGGCGGTCGCTTGGCATGCGAGAGGTACCGGGTTTGATTCTACTAGAAGTTGTCAAACTTTTTTTATTTTTTTTATTTTATAAATTTGTTGTTTCTTTGTTAAAAAGGGTTTTATTTTTATCGTAACATACATTTGCCCATTTTAGTTGGGTTTTTTGCTCAATGGGGCGGGGTCGGTTGGGTTGTGTTGTTGATTTTGGGTTGGTTTGGTTTTATGACGTAACTAACGTGCCCTTAACATTTATTATTATTATTATTTTATTATAACATAACAAATCTTAAAATTATGACGTCAATCGGGACTGAACTTAAGTCCCGCCTCGGGACGGGAGCCACAGCGAAATATAAACTGATTAAAAAAATTACCGCGAAGATTTCGAGTTTCTAACAAACCAAAATATTAAGTCAAAACTAGAAAAGATTTTTAATATGTTGTTCTTGAGAGCCCCTAGCTGCAATCCATCAGGAATTAACATTAAATAATGGGTAATCTTAGAATGCCATGAGTTCATATATGTATAAGTATTAGAGATGGGATTTCAGTGTTATTACCTATTTATCTACGCTAATCAAAACTGCAATGGAATTAAATTCGTTTTAAAGAAAATGATTTAATTTGAGCCTGATTTTATTTTACTTATTTTACCTAAATTTTCATTTTCAAGAGAAATTGACCTAAATTTTTACATTTTACTACCTAGTGTAATTTTACATATTTCACCTAAATTCTTATTTTTAACAGAAATTAACGAAATTTTCAAATTTTACCATCAAGTACATGCTTTTTGTAATATTGGGGTTGTCGTATTCGGATGACATTATGCACCATATAGTTATTTTTGTTGTACAGGATTGGTTGTACAGGATTGGTGGTTCGTACTGGGTAAGAAGATTATAATCTTCTTAGTACTGGGTATCGCAAACAGCGACGCGAATGTGACATTCCTGTGCAATGTTGCCAGTTCTCCTACTTTTGCATAAGATCTCAAGTTTTTCCAATCAATCTCATGTTATCATGTTTTTTTTTAATATCATGTATTTTGAAAAATTCTAGCTTTTTTATGAGAAAGTATTTTTTTAAACATTTAAATCACAATGAATGTGAATTTTCAATTTGTATGATAAAATTATAATATTTTTACAAGATCAGTTAAATAACTAAAATATTTTAAAATTTTTGATCATAAAAAATTTTTTTGAATGGAATTTTTATAAAATAATAAATTAAATTTCCAGTACTTATTTTCGTAAAGTACGTATTTAATTTAGGAATTTTCTCATCAAAACAAGAAAAAACTTTACCTATTTATGTAATCCCAAGATACATACACCTGATGTAATCCCAATAATTTTACATATAAGTTCGCTGGAAAAAGCTTGTGATCAATTTTCATATCCCTGAAGGACTTACTGAGAGGATTTACTAACCGATTTAAAATAACAAAACATTAAAAAGATTAAAATTGAGTTAAGACCACTAGTATACTTCTAAGGAAGTTATTATGTAATAGTTTGGCAATTGCCTCTATTAAATTTAAATTAACTAGAGGCGTATCTCAAATATAAATATAGTATAAATATAAATTAAGTAGCCATATTTTATAAAATTAATTTTTAAGACCATGGGTTAAAATTGGATTTGAAGATTCTTCCTGAATAAAATTAAAAGCTAATTTTCTGTTACTATACAAAATATCTCAATGTTTTCTAATTTGTGGTTCGTTTGCTTTCTGCAAAAGTACGTCCAATTATAGGTACCTGTGCGCGCATATTCTACGCATGCGCATTTAAGCTTTTGCTTTCAGATCTATTCGATAATTTGCGACGACACTCAAATTCGTTGAGAACCCACAACGTAAGGAAATATCATAAAAAAACGAGCTCATCTGAACCCAGTTTTGCTGTGAGGGTAGTTAAGCTTTTATTCTCTTTATATGTATATACAGAGGAATATTCCGGTTTATTAAAAAATGGGTTTATAAAAACATGGTCTTGAAGGAACCTTGACAAAAATTATAGCATTTATCTATTCCTTTTTTTTCAATTCCTTAAAACTTGAAAAATTACTTTTTTATAAATAGATTTTAAACATCAAGGTTTGAAAAGTTTGATAAATAAATAACAGTAGCTACTGGGCCTAGGCTGTGACAGTAAATTTAGTAAATGTAGTAAAAAATAAAACGTTGTATTTTAGTTAACAAATTAATACTCTGTTACAAAATATTTTTTTTTACATTTCTAAGAAAGTTTTATTCCTGATAAAACTTTCTTGCATGCCACACATAATTTTTATTGTCTATGGTAAATTTGCAATTTTGATTTTTATGAAAATTTGGTAAGTATACTTACCAGGTATACCTACTGAAAAGTTTTTGATAATCATTTTTTGTTCAATTGTTATTTCTTAAAAGTAATTGTTTCTATTAATATGTTAATTTTCATCGCTGGTTTATGCATTTTAAATTTTCTGAAAAAATCAAAATTACAAATTAACCATAGACAATAAAAATGATGTTTTGCATATTCTGGGGATTTAAAATCAAGTACAATTTTTTATCAATAGTAAAACTTTCTGAGAAATAAAATATTTTGTTTTCCTTTTTTTAATACCATCTGTTGAGATACTGTATATTAAAAAATACATCCATGATAAAATTCTCTTAAGAGTAGTACACATTTGTATATTCTCTTATTTTAAAACTCAGTCTATATAAAAAATAATTACAAACCATTTTGTGTTGCACCAAAAATTTAATAGTCTCCCTTATCCCACTAGAAACCATATTAGAAGTATAGCCTAGAAAGATCGTACAACTATTTCTAACAACAGTAAATGAGTCTTCAGTATCTATAAACTTGTCTTTAGGTATTGGTAATTTTCTGCATTCTATCATTCTGTTAATCTCATTAACTGCTAATCCAAAGTTAGTAGCTTGAAATCCTGTGTGTAGGTAGCTCTCAAGTAGTTTGTTAAAATCCATTCCTTTATTCCAATCATAACCAGATACTTTTTCTCTTAGGAAAGTCGTATTACTGGTTTTTACCATTATATTTTCTTTGGCTTCTTCAGCCATCTCGGCCAAGTTCTATGGTTAATAATAATGCAATGTAAAAATTAGTACATTAAGTAACTTATACCCATACCTAGATTTGTTGTCAGCTACAAATAAAATATATAATATGCACCTAGTATTTTACTGTTATTAGTTTTATCTCTAAAATAATGTTTCTCTGCTTTTTTACAAGAATACACCCGTTTTTAAAAGCACTTTTTATTTTTTTCTAGGTTAAGAAACATAACCTATTTATTTTTGACATTCTGCCATTGAGGCACCTAAACAAAGGCTATACCTCTTTGCCTCTGAGTACAGCTTGTGCCCAAAATTAAGAAGAAGAAGAGGAAGACCGTAAACACAAATGAATATAAGTGCACACTTTCTACTTTTTGGAACTTAAATATTCCTAATATATCAATCAATTTTATAGTATAAATAATATAAATAATATAATAATATAAATAATATAAATAGATACGTATCAAGCAGAGCTGCAACAAGTCAGTTTTAAAAAGACTTAAATCTTAAGTCTTAAGTCAATTCTAAAATCAAAATGATTTAAATCTTAAGTCAATTCTAAGATAAAGTTCAAATGATTTAAGTATTAAGTCTTTGAATTAAATCATTTTCTTTCAAGTCAAGTCATTTTCGCAAATTCTTAAATCAATATAAAGTGATTTAAGTCATCTTATGACTTAATTCCTTTAGTAAGCCGTTTTTATGACTTAAGTCTATATTTTTTATTTAAATCGGGATCTAAGAGTTAAGTCAATAAAATGACTTAAATCAAAAATTGTGATTTAAATCAAAATATAATTACCCTTAACCCTTTATAGGGCAAAAGGGTGGCATTCAAAATATTGCAATGAGCTTTGGTGAGGAGTTTACAAACAAGTTTAGTTTGATCATAGTACATTCAATTTTTTTTACCTGCCCCAAACTCAAAATTTTTGGTGGGACAATATTGTCCCAAAGGGCTCTAAACTCAAAATTTTGGTGGGATAATATTGTCCCAAAGGGCTCTTCATCTCTTTGAAATGAAGCCACTTAAAACTTTTATTTTTTTCCAAACGCGTACCTACATAAAATGAACAAGAAAATGCATAATAAAACAAATAAATTAAAATAAAATTTATTTTATACATGAAAAACAAATAAGAAAACGTATAAAATACAAATAAAACTATACATACAGTCCGTTCAGGCTAAGTTGAGCGCTTTGGTAGGGGATCATGTGGCCGTTAATTAAATTAAACATCGAATCATCGCGAGATTTCGGTAACAAAAAGATGATTTACCAGTGCCGCGGCTTGCCGTTTGTTCGTACAGAGCGGCTATCGAAATACATGTATTGAATTGTGCCTGAACATAGAGATGATGGACGGGGTGACATTCCTTAGACCGCTCAACTTAGCCTGAACGGACAGTAAATACCTCTTCTAAAAATGTGTGTGGATTTTTATATTTTGTCAAATATCTTCCAAGCCGAAATAGGCATTACTTTGAAACTTGTAGATATTATTACAGAAAACCTTGTAGAAATAGGATAAGTTGATGTATTTCAGCTAATCATTTAAAACTAATGGCAATTTTTTTCCAAACTTTATGTAAAAAATCGTTACTGGAGCCATTGTATGTTTCTAAGGCCGAAATATAAGAAGTACGAGTAAGTAGCCAATATTAAATATTAAAAATCCATTAAACTTACCTTAATTTACAACACTACACACCTGCACAATGTAAAGCACTTTTTAGGTGAGAATAAACAAACCGTTTTTTAATTTGAAATGTGATAATTTAAAAAAACATCTTCCCTGTGGACACAGGGACAAATACGTCCCACATTGGCACTTTTTATCACCCTCTATCAAACTGCGGTCACACTAAGGCAATTCAGCGGTCGGTATCTGCTCTACAGTGTCCTACGCATCTGCTAAAACAGGTGAGACACATCTCGTCCAAAGGACTTCTGTCGGAGCAGGGGTGGGACAATAACGTCCCAATACCCTATAAAGGGTTAAGTCAATACAACGATTTTTTAAATGTTAATAATAATTTTATGGTATTAATGATATTATTAATCTATTGTAGATACAGATGATAATAAACCACTATGTTAAGAATTTAAAACGATTTATTTTCAGAACACTTATAAATAAAATAAAAACTTAAAAAACATTTTTTGAGTATATAGTAGACAATAAAAATAAAAACTTAAACCACCTTTTTAGTAGAGTAATGATATTATTAATCTATTGTAGATACAGATGATAATAATTATTATGTGGTTTAAACCACTATGTTAAGAATTTAAAACGATTTATTTTCAGAACACTTATAAATAAAATAAAAACTTAAAAAACATTTTTTGAGTATATAGTAGACAATAAAAATAAAAACTTAAACCACCTTTTTAGTAGAGTAGACATACAGGGAGGCTATACTATACTTTTTTATATACATAAATGGGTAACTTCTAAACGGTAATAGATTCAAACTCTGTTAAAATAGATAAAAGTTGAAGCATTTTTCTTAAAATCGCTGTATTTCAAAAACTGACAACTTGTTGTTTTGTTAACTTTTGTTAGCTGGTTCAACATCCATCTAGAAAAAAAATATTCCTCCCTTAAGGATGTAATGATGGGAAGTTCCAAACTCTCGATTCACGACCGCTCAAGATGTACGACTGCTCACGACCGCTGACGACTACACCCGATTCACGATTATTCAAGACTACTCGAGTAGTGATCACGTTCACGCATAATCACGTTTGAATAATTTTATTCACGCACAATCACGTTTTTTTGTCGTAATTATTTACTTAAACAAACCGAAACACCCTGTATGATATAAATACGTCTTTATAATATTTATTCGTCCTTACAAGTTAATCGTTTGTTTCCACTTTGCACTAATAATCACAAATTAGACCTAACTTCGCACAACACGACGAATGTTGCAAACAAAATTATAAATCCCCACTTTTTTTTAATTCATTTTGGACAGGACATTTTTTAATGTAGCCGTCAAACGGTTCCGAAAAGCTAACTTTAAATATATGAAAAATCTGACTTTTCTAAAAAGACTTAAATCTTTCTCAAAAAGACTTAAATCTTTTTTTGACTTAAATTGTTTCTATCTGACTTAAATCGTATGTACTGATTTAAGCCTTTTATTAATGACTTAAGTTTTTTCTGTTTTGAAAAAAATATTTAAGTCACAAATCATTTTGAAAATTACTTAAATTTTAAGTCTTAAGTCAGTTTTAGAGAAATGACTTATTACCAAATGACTTAAGTCATTAAAACGATTTAAATCAAAAAAACGATTTAAGTTTTCTGAGAGCTTGCAGCTCTGGTATCAAGTATATTTACGTTTACGTAATAAATAATTTACTTTAGAATTTTCAAATGTATTACCAACTTAACATAAGGAAAAAACTGGGAACGTTCAACGTTGGTTTTAAAATTTGACAAACCACGATTGCGCTAGACGTTTTTGTTTATTATATGATTTGTGTGATATTAATTAAAATGTTATACCATTTGTAATATTTATAACTATTTATAAACAAGAACAAACAAAATGAAACCCAAAATTAGTACCGGTTTTTTTACACCTCCAATGAACAGAAAAAGAAAAGAAAATGTGCAAACTCCGGTACGAAATCAAAACAACGAGATTATTTTTAGTGAGGAAATATACGAGACAATCATGGGTGACCCAATTAAGCGTAAATTGATGTTGCAAATATTTGCACAAGAAAAAAATGCCATTGAAGAATATAAACGAAACGAAAAGAAAAAGAAACTTGTAGCCTCAAGTCCCTTAAACAAATTGAAAGGAAAGTATAAATGTGAGAGCCCCACTGCTTTATTAAGAAGAAGGGCACTTGAACAGCAAGCTAAAGAAAATGAAAATGATTTAAATTCTGAGAGAAGTTCTTCCAGACAGTCAACATCTAGTGCCGGAAGTCCAGTTCCATCACCGATACCATTTGATAAACTCTTAGAAGGTGTTAGAGCTTATGTTGAGGTTAGGAGTAAAGATCAAGATCGTTCTGCAGGGGCTAAGGCCTTGATGATATCCATGGGTGCTAAAGTTAGAGATGTATTTACCAAGGATGTTACCCATGTTGTTTTTAAGGTAACTATTAGAGTAAAGTTGGCAAAATCATACTGCCTTGTAAATTCGACCATTGTAATTTTTCATATTGCAAGTAGCTAGGATTACTATTTATACTTTTTTGTTCCCATAGGGCCCGTCTTGCAATATAAAAGATTACTATTAATAGTGGTTACTATTACTATTTATACTTTTTTGTTCCAATGGTATAATTTAGAAGGCAGGACAATTTTGCCAACTCTACCCTAAATACATTTTGATACATGTGTGCAATTTATTAGAATTTCACAAAAATTATTTAAAATGCAGAGGAATACTTCCAAAATCTAATTGCTCTCATTTAATTTAGGCCAATTACTAGCTAACTAATTACTTCCTGGACAACATTCATGATATTCATACGAACATCATGTGATTTTCACAAATTTTATTCATACTGATATCATACGGAAGTCACCGCGTGATAATTGAAAATCATACAAACGTCACGTCGTGATTTTCACAAATTTTATTCATACGGACATCATTATTATTAGATATGGGACCCACATCAAATTTATATGAGTTTATAATGACATTATATAGACAAGTTCTGCGCAAGCAGAATTTAAATTGAAGTTTGCGAAAAAAAGTTAGTTTTTTAGTGTGCCCCCCCCCAGCCTCCTGCACCCCAAAATTAAGATAATTCAAATTAAAGTGGTACAATATTTAATTCACTGAAGTTTATCGACAAATTTCAAATTTTATTAAAAAAATTTAAATATTACAGATTTTATACCATTTCTATTTTTGTTTTAAATTTAGTAAAAGAAATAATAAAAATTTAAAATGGTATAAAACCTGTAATTCTTGAACTTTTTTAATAAAATTTGAAATTTGTTGATAAACTTCAGTGAATTAAACAATGTACCACTTTAATTTGAATTATCTTAATTTGGGGGGGGCAGGAGGCTGGGGGGGCACACTAAAAAACTAACTTTTTTTCGCCAACTTCAATATAAATTCTGCTTGCGCAGAACTTGTCTATATAATGTCATTATAAACTCATATAAATTTAATGTGGGTCCCATGTCTAATAACTGAGATACGTTACTTTACCAAGTAACTAGGATACTTTTTTTGACAAAAGTTACAAGATACCTACTTTTTCAAAGTATCTAAGTTATAGATACTTTCTGTCTAATATAAAAAGTATCTAAGATAAAGTATCTTAGATACTTTAAGTATTTAAGTTACTTTTAAGTATCTTATTTTTCAAGATACTCCCAGCTCCCCTTACACCTTTTTTGAATAAAATTAATCATTAATTAATTTGATGTGCACTTTTTAGGCGAAATTTTATGCGCATAATATTAATACCTATTATTTTTAAATTTCATAATCATTTTTTTAAATTTACATTAAATGCACACATTAACCCATTTACATAAAAATTAATAAAGCGTTTTTTAAGGATGGTGGTTTTTCCACATATCAAAAGGCAAAGCTGATGAAAGTCCATCTTGTGTCGGTTTTGTGGCTTGAAGCTGTAAGGAAAAATATGTTTAAAGTTCCAGAGAAAGAATACCCTGCCTTGGGAGCAAGTACATTTGATAATGATGTGTCAACTGTTTGTTCTGTAAGTATTTTAATGCATACAAAATTATTAAGTGTAGTAAAATAAATTTTTAATTATAAAATGTTATAATAAAAAGATATTTCCGATTATTAGATTCACCGCGTCTTTTTTAAACTTAAAAATGTATTTTTGATGTGGCTTTAGTGTGCCATTTTCAGGACTTACAATAATCATTGGTTTTTTAAGTACACATTTTTAATATTCTATCAATAATTATGCTTACAACCATTTTGTACTATGCTCCACACCAAAAAGTTCCACTGTGACATTTGAATTTAACGCTAATTTCGTCGTATTTTGTACTATGTAGAGTCCCTATGAAGAGTCTGGTCCAAAGACAATTCTTTGGTACGATCAATGGTAGCACAAATCCTATTGGACCTAAACATGGCGCGAAGAGTCATCATTTGAATGAAAATTAATGTCTTTGAACACAAACACCCAAAAATAAATAAATATTTTTTTTACTCTTATTTAGTTACCTATTAAACAATTATTAACAATTTATTACAAGAAACACTTGCAATGTCACGTTTGAACTCTGTCAAAACCAAAATGAAAGTTAACACAGCCACCTACTAATCTTAGTAAATAGCTTCTAAGCTATTAACTAATTGACAACCAGAGTCCATATAAAAAGAGAGTCTGGACCAAAGATAATACATTATCTTTGGTCTGGACACTTGACCAAAACATGGCAAAATTTGTTGTCTATTAGTAGCTTAGAAACTATTTAGATTAGTAGGTGTCCATGTCAACTGTAATTTTGGTTTTCAAACGTGAAATTACAAGTGCTTTTTGTAATAAATTTTTAATGTGTTTGTTTATTTTTATTTTTTATTTTTATGGATTCAGAAAAACCTAAAGAACCCATTGTGGGTTATAACAGGTATAGATATGTATAAATATATTTGTAAATATAATATAATTTGTTTTATATCACAGTTGTATCACAATCGTCTCTTCTTTTGCTGAGATTATGTTGGACTATATGTTTGAATGTGTTTTCCGTGGTGTGTTTTATGCCTTCAGGTAGGTTAATGTAAAGTCTTGCTCTGTCTGATGCCAGTCTTTTCTCCCATTTTTGTTTCTGATTTGGGCAACCTGTATCTATCTTTTCCTCTCGTGTTGTGGCTGTGAAATTCATTGTCCTTTTTTGAGTTCAATTCACAAGATTCTACCTGCCTTAATTCCTCTTTATTAAAAGGTTTTGTGGTTTGAGAAACTTGTTCTGTTGGCGTGTCTTGTTTCAGTTTGTAAAGAGCCTTTATTACTTTTTTTGCGCCCTCTGCAGGTAGCCTAAGCAAGACTTGTCGCCTGTTGCCCAAAAGGTAAGTCAGTCTTGACTTTTTATATGTATGCATGATAAACTGTGATTTTTTGTTGTTTAGGTAAAATATTCTTTAATTTGTAGGCTAAGCATATGTACAAAGCTAACGTGGTGGTTAGTTTCTGTATGTGGTCCTTCCAGGGGAGACGTCTATCTATTATTAGTCCTGGGTATTTTATTTGCTGGACTTCTTTTAAGATTTGGCTAATTAGCTTTAGTGTGATGTTGTGTGTCTTTGGCCTTTTTTCTATATGTATTATGTAGCACTTGAGTGTTAAAAGGTTTTTCGTCCATTTATGTAATTTTTTTTTAAGTCTTTTATTTAAAATAATGACTTTTTAGGCCATTTTTGAATGAAAAATTGAAAAATCTGAAAATTATTTATTTTGTAGGCTGAAACTTGATTAGTAGAAATTTGTAATTTTTCATTTAACACGTTGAGTGCCACATGAGACCAACACGGTCTCACACTATTTCAGGACCGTGGTGCCTCTTGAGTCCACTGTGGTACCACGGTTTTGAACTTTTTGTTTTACCTCGTGGTGACTCGTTGCTTACATGAATCTTATTTAAACTCATAGGACCGCAATACTAGTGGCCTATGGAACCCGAAAACATTTTTTTTTTCATTTTTAAATAAACATAAGAACAAAAATCTGTAAAAAAATGCAGTCTGTTTTTTGTGGTTTACCTTTTACTAGAATAGGTTTCAGTGCAATCTATTCAATTCACGATGCCGGTGACCGATTGGACTGCAGTCGGTTTTTTCTTAGACTTGGATCGGCGTCGTTGCCGGTTGCCGCGTTATTTCACTTTATAACCGCTACGTTTCGTTTATTATTAATTAATTATCAAATTATGGCTACTGATGAAACTAATAAATAAAGTACATGAGAAATATGGATAGAATCTTTTTATTTTAGCAGAAAAAGCAATAAATAAAAGAGTATCCAAGTATATTAATTACTACCTCATTGATTCCGGCATCAAGCAACTAAATGTAAATCACTTAATACTCCTTCGTATTCGACGCGTCGCAACGTTGCGAGAGTCACCTGATTATGTTTACTTAGCTGAACCAGCTCAAAAATGCCTGTAGTCGCGCATTTGGGTCGGAATTGGCAGGAACCGGAATATGTATCTGAAATAGGTTCGCGTTTGGAAATTGTACAGGTACAGGTCAAATAAAGAACAATGTCGTCATAATGGGAGTTCCCAGCTCGAATGATAATGTTAAGAATATTGTACTTGAAATATCCAAATCATTGGGTGTACCAAGTATAAATGAAGAAGACCTTGAGTGTTATCGTGTAGGAAAGGAAGACGAGAACAAAACTCAAGCAATAAAAGTAAAATATGTAAAAGAGGAACACAAAAATAAAATCATGCAATCAGAAAAGAGAAAAAGTTTAACTACAGAGGATATTGGCCTGTCAACCAAAAGCAAAATCTATATTAACAATGAACTAACCAAACTTAACCAAGAAATCTACAAAGAAAGCCGTCAATTCAAAAAAGACTTCAACTATAAATTCGTCTGGAATAAGAATGGAAATATCTACCTGAGGGAAACCGAAACCAGCAAGCCAATTATAGTCAAGTCTCTTGATACAATAGAAAAATTAAAAAACTAATATATGCCCTAAAAGTTACCTATATCAACATAAGAAGCATCAGACACAAATGTGAAGAAGTAGAAATAATTTTGGCTGAAACAAAACCGGATATTCTTATCTTAACAGAAACCTGGCTTTACACAAACGAGGCATTGGCAGTAAAATTCAAAAACTATATCACAATTCATTCTTGTCGAGACGATTCAAGGGGAGGTGAAGTGGCAATATGTATTAAAAACACATACAAATTCGAGACCCTTAGTAATATAAGTAACAACAATATAAACTGTATCGTTATAGAATTAAACAAACTAAACACAAAAATAGGTGCAGTGTATAATAATAATAATAATATATTTATTTGCCAATAAGATCATATACAATGACATAAGCATGGTCAGAAAAAGAACAAAATTGTGAGACAAAAACACTAACTAGACAAATTTTGAAAGGAAATATATACATATAGTAAATTTTCAACTTAAAGAAGTACACATTTACATAAAAAAAATTACCTGTAAAACAAAAAACAAGTACATAACATATTGATGTATAAATAACATAGGTATTGATGTATAAATAACATATTGATGTATAAATAAAAAAGGTACAAAACAATTTGAGACAAAAAGTTGTAATTGCACAAAAAAACAGACAATCAATATATTAGCATTTAAATTATATAGTGATAGACGATTAAAACGGACATTGTAAAAACTCATTCAGAGAGTAAAAACAGTGGTGTAAAAGGAACTGTTTTACTGTTTGTTTAAAATTTGTTATAGACTGTATCTCCTTTATATCATTGGGCAACTTGTTTGAGACCGCTATACACCTGTACAAAACACTTCTGTGAAATAACTCAGACCTATGTAATGGAACTCTCAATAGTGCACCGCCTCTCGTATTCATGTTATCAAACACGTCCATATTTCTAGTAAACAGTCCTGGATTTTTTTTTGTGAACAAAAGCATATTGTAGATATACAGACAAGGTAACGGCATAATATTTAATTCCTTAAAATACGGTTTGCAAGATGTTGTGCGTTTTAAGTGTAACATTGATCGAAGTGCACGTTTTTGAGCAATGAAGGCTGAGTCAAATGTGTTAGAGGAACCCCAGAAAATCAGGCCATATGAAAGTATCGATTGCACATAGACAAAGTAAAACAATTTTAAGCTACAAATCGACATGTGGTTGCTCATATATCGCAATATGTAACAACCACGATTTACATTTGTTATAACTGATTTTACCTGTGATTCCCAGTTAAGATTACAATCAATGTTGACACCCAGGAATTTAACACTTTGACAATTTGGGAGGGAAGCTTGGTTTGACATAACTAAAAGGCTTTGCAGTTGCAAGTTAAAGTTTTTCTGGAATATTAAAAGGTTAGTTTTAGAGTTGTTAAGTATTAAGCCGTTAGTTCGGCACCAGTCTGACATTCTTTCTACAACTTGTTTTGCCTTCACAGACAATTCAGTGATAGTACCAGAAATTGCTAGACAGGACGTATCATCAGCATATTGACAAACATTGGACAAATGGTTATAGAGATCATTTACATATATTAAGAACAAGGTTGGGCCCAGGATGGATCCTTGAGGAACACCCATCTTAAGATTTATACTATCTGAGAACGTATAGGTTAGAAAACCATATTTTATGGATTTGAGAGCAACAACTTGTTTTCTGTTGGAGAGGTATGAGGTCATCAGATCTAATGCCACTCCACGAATCCCATATGACTCCATCTTCTCAAGTAGTATTCTGTGGTTTAGACTGTCGAATGCTTTTGACAAATCGAAATAGATGCCAGCAACCATATGTTTTTTTTCTAAACTATCTAAAATGTCTTTAAGTGATTTATATATTGCATCTATTGTTGATGTCTTAGGCAAAAAACCAAACTGAGTGGGAGATAAGATATTAAATTTTTTTAGATACGAGATAAGTCTTTTGTTTATTAGTTTTTCAAATACCTTTGAGAAAACGGGCAACAGTGATATAGGACGATAATTGTTTGTTAAATTTGGATTTCCTTTTTTGA